AAAATTTTTCGAACGTAACGAAAGATTTTGTATGGAGATGTAACTACATATGTGAAGATTAAATTGTTTCACGCACCAAGTTCTGCGTTATTAGACTCTTAATGCCTGATTTATTATTTCCGGATTATCGTTTTTTAGATTAAAGAGTCTTTATATAGTATATGTCAATTTTAAAATAAATTAACTTTCAATATCAGGGGCCTTTGATATGCGGCCACGTTTACTTTCTAAAGGGATAAAATTAAATTTAAAAGTAAATTTAAAAAATTTCCCTGAGTATCAGTAAAATTCCATGAGTTGTCAAGGGTAAAAATGAAATTCTCTGAGAATTCCAGGTTTTCCCGGTTTTTCCCGGTAGTACACACCCTGCAGTTATGGCTATTGCTAAATGATAATCAATTATCGTCACGTACATTGCACACGCATTTGAAATATTTTATTACAAATTTAGAGAGGAAAAAAAGTAGTTTAAAGCTGTAACACCGCACAGCATTTCGAAACCTTGTTACAAACCATTGGATATGTGTCAAAAGTTCATCTCAATACAGTAGGAGATAAAAAGATTACGAAATGTTGAATGCAAATCTTTTTGTTTCGCGAACGTCCATTAGCGTTGATGACTGGTTGAACCACCACTATTTTTAACGAAAACTCATTTGCCGGTAAAAATTGATGGGTCAATCTATCGCCTGTTAACGAGAATTTGCGGAATGTTGGTGAAATCGACTAATGGAGAATAAATTTCATCGATATGCAGTAGCTACTTTCGCGGAATATATCCTAGGGGAGGAGGGAGGGGGGGAAAATAGGGAAAATATGCCGGGGCAACACTGGCACTAGAATAAAGAACAAACTGCGCGCACAGCCTGAAAGAAAAGAAAATGCCAAGCGGGAGAGGATGGCGGGAAAAGGATATACGCGAAAGCTTGTGAAAGTTTTTGCGACAAGTAACTCACTTCGGGAACCCGACTGCCATTTTCATAAGCTCGTTGAAATCGAATCGAGGTCGCGCGAGAAAGAGATAAGAATATAACATTTTACGGGAGCTTCTGCAAATGCCGCATAAACAACCGAAAAACGATTAAAAGTTAAATAGTCACGAACAGTGACGAACAAATAATTCATGATCGTGCAATGAAAGACGGGCAATTTACTTCAGACGGATTTTAGCACGACTGCTCCGATTTTTTGTTACGAGGTCTCTCATTTTAATATGACTTTAGTTGAAATTTTAGTCATCAAAAATATCTCGTGTTAAGAGTTGAACAATTTTCCCGATCATGACGCTGCATTTAATCTTCCGATAATGAAAAACTTGATTCCTTCCGAATCGAATGAAAACGCTTATGCAAATGGACAGTTGATTGGACACGTATATACCTATATGCGAAAATCAAGTTACGCACGTCGCTGAAATATGAAAACGGGATATGAAGAGCGAGCGGAGAAGAAATAGTACTGGCACACGCGGCCTCTCTCGCAACGAAAGTCTCGCAATGGAACTTACCGCGAGTAACCCGGTCCGGAAAGCTGTCAGCCATTTTCATAAGCTCGAGAAACTTCGCCAAGTGGGAAGTGGAAACGAGGTCGCGGTATGAAGAAGGTAAAAGGTGGAAAAGCCAGCGGCTCGTGCACGCGAGACCTGTCCCACAGCAGCGTCCCGAACAGACAAAAAAACCCGCGATTTCGACGATATATCATCACAATATATCCAGTCGTTGAATTTGACGAACCGAGAACAAGGGAACGCTATTAATTAATACCAGGATACCTCGCAGCACTTTATAGAGTGAAACTGATCGTATATTTACGATTAGTAGAATCGAAAAATAAAATTGTTGATAACGTAACTTAATTATCTACAGTAACTGTTTTAATTTAATCTTAAATTAATTTTTTTTCGTTAGATTATATTTAACATCTTGCAATCATCGTGCAATTCGTGAAATTGTTCTTAGATATTAGATTGTATTCCTTGGATCTCTGCAGATGAATCTTACAATTATAATAGATGTTACATTGTGTGATAACAAGCTTACTATATGAAATCAATATATCGATTAATAATGAAAAACAGGGAACTTATTAAGGCAGGGGACATATTCATTTAGATACGTTTTATTTTTTGGAAAAAAGCAAGCTGCTTCCGAGCGAACTTCGTTCAAAGCAGGAAGGCAGAGAACAGTTACAAGAGAAGATTACAGCTTTTTAATTTTCGAGATCAGTGGCGCGTTTCTCTAAAGAGAGTATGCGGCTTTCTTGTATCAAGATAAAAGGTATTAAATCCTATTAAATGCTATAAAACGCTTTAGCTTATCGTGGTATGGCATGATAAAAGGTTGAATCAAGCGAGCGCGTAAAAACTTCAGGTTAATATTAATTTATTATATCTAGTTTTTCTTTGTAATTATTCAATGTTTTTTAATTATAATCCCATATCCTCGCGCGTGCGCACGGATTTATTTCGTATAAAAATTTGCAACCATCACGGTTAACAAATTGCATTAGATTTTAATTATATTGGCCGGCATTAATAATAATCTACTAATAACGCCTGCCCAAATGAATAAACAAAACCTCGTAAATGACGTGGGGTATGGCGATAAAAAAGAAACGCGGTGTAAGAACTTTTATTGATGAACGAATGGAAAGCAACAGGATGGGTAAAAGTTTATGTGTCTGACGAATCCGTCATTAATCCTGAGATAGGTATACCCATGCGTATACCTTTAATATCGCGGTAAAGCGGACCCTTTAAATCCAGGATATGCAGTTAAATAAATAACTCGCGCGAATCGACATATTCGATATAAAGTACGATAAATCAGCGGGGGCTTTAATATCCCGGCGCGCGCCGTCTCGTTGCAGTCTGAAAGTTTCAATGAGGCGATCGACAGCACTCCTGAAAGCACTTCCGCAAGCGGATCTGAAAGCCGATTTTTACCGATCTTTTTCATTCATTTCCCGACCCGCGCCTAAAGCGCGCGCGACCGACTTTTCCGAGATTCCGTCCGATCTCTTCACCCGACGAAGGTCGTAAATAATCTATGAACACCCATAATTCCACGATCCCGGGGCCCCGCTTAATCTCATAAAGTGTCACTTTAATCTCGCCCGGAAAAAGAGAGGGAGGGGCGGGGAAAAAAAGGAAGAATTATAAGACTCGCGCCGACGCGACGCGGGGGCGGGCGCGACGAAAAAACGGGACGAAACTTCGCTGATTCACGGAAGAAGCTGTAATTCGGCCGAGAGCAAAGTTCACCGAAGATGATTCGAAGTTCCGCGGGAGGATGAGCCTCGAATAACTCGTGTACTACGGGGTGTTTCCCGAGGTTTAAATATTCTCAGTTCGGCAAGTTCATCGCGGATAGCGCACTACCGCCAGTTTTTAGTTTCGCGTTCACGATGTTAAATCACTAAAAGCGCGATGAACTTTCTACATCGCCGTGGAACGTAAAAGATAAAGAGACCGACACCCCGAGAGAGTGAAATTTTTTTTAAATTAAATCACGCGCTGTATGTGTGTGTGTGCAGGTCTCATCGAGGCGCATAGAGAAGGTAAGATCGCAAGTCTAATCGGAGTGGAAGGTGGTCATTCCTTGGGGAATTCCTTGGGTGTCCTCAGGACGTTTTACGGTCTGGGAGCGCGATATCTTACTCTGACACATGCGTGCGACACCTCCTGGTGAGTATAAATTATACGAGAGAGCGGCGTAACGTATAAGAGCCTGTTCCCGGGAATAATTAATTGATTGCGATCCAAAGCTCTGCTCTCAATAAGTGGAATATCAGACCTCGTAATGAACCGATCACGCGACAAAAAGAATTAACGAGTTAATAAAGAGCAAATGTGAGATGAAATCACGAGTAGAGATGAGATACGTGCGATAGCAAGAGCTAATTTATTCTGACGATTTTTCAAATTATGCACGAATTACGTTATTTGATAACGGATTACGGCATTTTATATAAGAATTGACATTGATTGATTTGAAATTAAAGTAATAATCTTATATACACGATACATTATTCTGAGGCAATCTCATTTTAAATGTAATTACATTACAGACAGAATTTAACCGCTCTATACGTCGATTTAATTAAAAACGGCGCTTCGATCGCATTTTGATTCGCCGCGACTGAAATATTGATTCGCTACATAATGCACTTTAACTTTAATTTTCGACGCTTTACTGTTCCACGCGCCGATGCGCGATTCATTAAAGTTAGAAGATTGAATCCTCTCATTCATGAGATCAAGATTCTGCGGGGTGTTTCGTTTCCTCTCGGCATCTCGTACTTGTCGCGCCTCCTCTTCACCTCGCGCGCAAGAAGTTTCTCCTCCGTGTACAAGCCGCTCGTTCATCGAACATCCGGAGGTTTCGTTTTATTTTTTACTCGAGACTCGTTGTGCTTCGTATCACGATCCACTCTTAGAGGCAAACCAATTCCACGGTTGATCGGCTTAACCGAGAGCCGAAATAACCTGAAATCTGGACGCCCGGAAGTTCTTTTCGGTAATTTCGAAAGCACCCCCGCAAAGCCGCCGCTTATTTTCCGGCGCGTCTGAAAAAGAAACTTTACGGCGAGGGAAGAGCTTCTGGTGTTTCGCGGAGAGAAAGGGAGGAGAATAGCACGGCTCTTATCAGAAAGACCTCGGAATCCAGAAGTCAACTTTCACAATTTAGTCTCCTTAATCAGTTACTGTAAAGACATTTCTTGAAATTGTTCTGACTTCATTTTCCAATTTCGCCCGACTTTGTCTGACATTGTTCGTCTCGATCTACAGCATCATTTATTCATCAATAAGAATACATTTCGTAAATCGAGCTCAGTACTTCATAAAAATTTAAAGCAATACGCTCTGATCTTTACTTTATATGTATACTGCAACGAATTTATTGCATATTTACAACAATTTTTAAATATAAAAACAATCTCCCGTATATTTTCTTATGATCTCGATGACACGAGTATAAAGCAAACAATTTAAAAAAATTTATTCAACCTTTGCAAATATAACTTAACCAAAGGAATTAAAAAAATATAAAGTTATAAAGCGTTTATTATTTTCATTTTATGTTTCAGTACTTTTATTTTTATTCTACATATATATTAGTTTATTATTATTCGCTCGCTTCTCGCGAGGGGGACTGCAAGACGAACAATGGAACAGAAACACGGGAACAGAAAACGCTTTTCCTCTTCCGCCCCGAACATCGATCTTTAACCTGAGGTTTATGCATCCCTTGCGATGCCCCCGCGTGCCGTGCGGAGTTGTAAATAAAGTCCCTGCTTTTATGCGTCCGTTCGATCCGGGTCACATGAGCCGCGACAAGTTGCGTTTTCGCGGGAAAATCCAACAGTTGCATTATTTGCGAGCTGCAAGTTACGCCGGCCATAAAACAGAACTACACGCGCCCCGGAACAGCGACATTCGACTCCCGCCGCGACTGCTCCGCAGTCGTTTAATTACCACGGGGCCGCGGTCATTTACAGATCTTCCTCGTCGAAAGAAAATTTTATTCGCGCTAACCAACGAAAAATTATCGCCCGACTTTTCTATTCTCTCAAACTTCTCGCAAAGCTTTCTCCATTTTTTTCCCCTCCCTTTTTAGCATAATAATATTCATAATCCGGAAACTAAAGTTTGGGACATTCTATGTTGTTTTTTTTTCTCCTCGCGAACGCTCGAGAACGATCATTAAATTACGGCGCCGCAGTTGTCGAGGATGACGCCGAGAATGTATAGACGAAAGTGTGCAGTATATATACGTGTTTCCTCGATCGCAATTTTATTTTCACATTGATCGTTACATCTTCCGTCGTCCGCGATTTATTTCTTTTATATCAGCCAAATTTTCGGAGATTGTCAACGACCGCGCGTACATTTTCGCCCCGACTGTATCTTTTATGAGCGCGAGGAATCATGCTCGAACCGTAATAATCTCACTCGGTGTTCCCTGCCACGCGAAATAGGATTTACGTCTCGAGCAGAGCGACGCTAGATGCCTCGGTAGCTTTCGGGATGTAAATTACGACGGTGACCGCCAATGTTACTAACTCTAACGCCGCTTTAAGGTCGAAGTATTATACGACAATGGGCACCGACCTGGTTCGCCGTGCTCTTTCCGACGCTCGCCTGCTTTATGTCTCCCTCGACGCCGTGACGCTTACTGCAGTAAATAAGAATCGGGAGTCACGTCGGGCACCTCCCTCGACGTGCAAATCTTCTTTCGGATGGTACATATTTTTCTCTTCTGACCCCCCGAAAATTACGTCGACGTCGTCTTACATACGTCTTACGAGACACACACGACACGGGAGGTAATCTTTCCTCGATATCAAATCGAGTTCCGTCGAAATCGAGGAAGAAAAGGGATAAAGTATTTCATTTCACAAATAAATGTGGAACTCAAATGTATAACAATACAGATTTTAGAAATTTCTATATAATAAAATACATCATAAAGTTTCATATTAAGCGAAAATTCGAAAAATAAAAATCGTAATGATACGTTTAAAATTAAGACAGTTTGTACTTTTTCAGTCACGTCGATCCTAGAGTTAAATTAAATTTAAATCACTATTATTATTGTTGTTATTAAATATAAATTATTATTACAATTTTATTAAATTTTAATAATCAGATTTTCTGAAATTAATGCTTCGTTTTAAGAATTATTTAATTAAATCCAAGTAATTTTTAAAAGAAATTCAAATATGTGTCTTTATAACAAATAACGCCATGTAATGAAAAAAAATACAGCGAGCACAAAACGTGCAATTTTTAACGGGAGATAATAATAGTTACGTAAGTTACAAAAGAACAGACGATTTGGGACATTCAAAAAAGTGCACGTCTATGAGAAAAGCCTATCACATAGAGAACATCTGAAGAAAACTCGACGTAAAAATGCGGTTTCATCTCTGCGGCCTGAGATTTCCGGCATCCATGAGGAAAAGCGTGCTTTTATTGGGACAATATCCGAATTGCTTTCGGACGTGTGCCCGGGGCTTAATGTCAGCCTCTGACCCTATTCTCTCTTTCTCTCTCTCTCTCTCTCTCTCTCTCTCTCTCTCTCTCTCTCTCTCTCGTCTCTCTTCGTCTCCATCGCGTGTCCTCCCTCTCCTCCCTGGGGACGCGAGATTGTCGACCCGATTGAATTTTCTACAGTTCTAGATGACGATGCCGAATCATCTCTGGCGTTTTCCACGTCTGGAAGCGAGAATTGACCGTGAAGAATTATCGGATTCTCGATGCCATTCGCGCCTTCGTACTACTTGTTTTTTAACCTTCCCACTTTTATTTTCTCGATATCTCCCGTGTATTCCACTATTCGACAGCAGATAGAAATAACCCAAACTAATACACTCATTCGTCGTTAAAGCAGGTCGTAACAGCTCCTCTGGCGAATTTCAAAATATATTTCTTAACAAAATTGTATATTTCTTAACAAAAATTAAAATTATTGATAATTATTGGCAAATGTTTGATTATAAAAGTTATTAAGCACTAAAAGTGTAAATATAAGTATTATATATGTATATAACGAGATTTCACATTTTCTCTCAATTAATTGCAAATGATATTCAGTTTAACAAATAGTTAAAGTTATATTTGCTAACACTTATCAAGACAAATTAAAAAATCGATCTTGAGATATATTACAGTTTTTATACTTAGAGACTTCGAAACTTTTAGTCATCAATTAATTTCTATCTAATAATCAGCAAGAATTAGTCGTAATAAATAGATAAATGGAAACACACACGTTAACTTCCGAAAAGTTGCACGGAACTCGAATGAGCTTCGAATTGCTTTAACGATTCTAAAGGCAACGTGTATGATAACGAAGTGCGCAACCCCTAAAGCGGAGTTTGTGTACATTTGACCTAAATCACTTGACCCAACGCTTCTCGAATGTGTCTATTCGGGTACAGACAGAAAGTAGTCTGAATCTGTTCTCATAGTGCGTATCTAAGTTATTTACTGATCAAATCTAAGAATATAAAAATCTATAGATATAAGTTAACGTTTCTCAATGTCAATATAACTTGTGATAAAGATAAATTCTGTCACGCAAAGTTAAATTGTGAATTATTGTCACAAAAAAATTGTAGATATTAAAGCTGGAGATTGTCATCCTATGGATTTCGGACAAATGCGGATTTTATTGAAAAAAAAAAAACTTATTATTAACACTCAATATTCTATGTAATATCAGACAAATAAATACGTATTTTTTAGACATAACGAAATAGAGTACATATAAAGTGATTTATTTTTTGATTAACGACGTATACGCTTTCATGATGGACAATTTGCCGTGTTATCGGAAATTCTTTTTATCTCTCGTTAAAAATCGGATCATAATAAATATATGCGCGCGCGGTAAATACGTATGAATCGAGAAACTCTATAACATAATGCCTACTTCAGAAAATATTATTCGCCCCAAACTCTCGTCCGAAACTCTCCGTCCGCGGGGAGAGAAAGCAAGCGCAGCGAGCACGCAACGCGACCGCCGGATTTTCGCGACGGGAGCCGCAAACCGACGTTCTAACAGACATTTTCTTGGCAGGGCAGTCTGTTCTGTTGGCGAGACGAACAACACTCAGGACTCCACGCCGGGCCTCAGCGAATTTGGGAAAGTGAGTCAACATTTACATTGTACACGCTCCACTGCGGATTTACCTTTTTCAGTGAACAGGGAAATATCGCGTTCGCAAAAAAATGCCCGCCGCGTGTACATACACGCTTCCGAAAGAGTTTCCGTTTTATGGCCGCGGACGCCGGGGCCGCGCGACATTCTGCAGAAAAATAATACTGCAGACTTCCGGCCAAGACGCGTCCCCCGGCATTATTCCCGCGAAACGACCGCGCGACAGTTTAGATTATAATTTCGCTATGAGCTTCGCGCGCGCGTAACGTTATATAACGCGAATATTGCATTAAGCATTTTCAGCTTTTTTTTTTACGGAAATAGAAAATGTTCCTTAAATAAATGATAATAGCGCACGGGATCAGAGAGAGTATTCCGCGTTGTTGTTGAGGCACGAGTAACGCGTTCGGAGTAAATGAAAGTTATATTTCTATATCAATATATTTGCATGCAAATATGTTATTCAAATGGAACAAATTCGGCGTTTAAATCGTCTATAATTAGCGAATAAAATGCATAAATACGCCGATAAGATAATACCCCGCTAATTTCTATTAACACTTCGCGCGCGCGCGCGCGCTTGTACGTTAAAATTTCCCAACGGTTTACCCCTTTCTGGAATATCTAAATAAACGAGACGTCACGCGACGGCACATTACATCAGGGACGTCCCCAATTTTCGTAGCGGGATTTAGATCGTGGCTTCGCGATCACGATGGAGCTCGAATTATTTTTCCACGACGTAACCGGGGAAATGATCGTCAACGAACGCGCGACTGATCGCGTCCGACCTACATTCCGTTTATCACTCCCGCGCGCCTCGCGCCCCCGTCCGCTCCGCCGCGTTCATAAAATTATATCCCGACCCACTTTCGCGCGCGTAGAATTCGTCGGGGGATTTCGAGCGTTAACGCATATAGGTTCGGTGATCTCAACGGGGCGGATTTCTGCCATTCTATATAGCGTCGCGCGCGCGAATCCCGTCCGAAAAAACCCCGAAAGACGCGAATCCTTCGTCAGATAGTTTCGCGCCGATTAAGTTTTTCTTTTTTTGTCAAAATTCATAATCTTGTGGAAGATTAAAAGACGAAAAATAGAATGGAAAAAACTTAGGTTACAGCGAATGGGAGAAGAAGTAAGGAGGAGGTAAACGGACGGGGAAGACGGGGCGTGAGAACGTAAATCAAACAAATCACCTCCGTTATTCTCCGCATCCTTTGCAACGGCTAAATCTCGCATTAATAAATGACAGGTCTTCCGAAGAAAAATTCTATGCGCAACGCTAAGTGCCCCGCAGTATGTCATCGTCCTCACGAAGCGCTAAACAGATATTCCATCTCTGAAAATTTTCGGCAATTAAAAGTCTGAAATAATTAGCTGTCGCCGTTACAGTGCGACGCTCTTCCAAATATCACGGTCCAAAGTTTTAATCATTTTCGTTCATTATGAACGATGTATATAGATATTCCTGCATTCCCTATATTTATAGTAACACGTATTTCACTGCATTATCCATATACCTATACATATATTGCGATGAATTTTTTAAATTTTTTTACTGGAAATCGAAGACGGAAAACTTAATTAATGGATATCGCCAATTCCACGTTATTTCAGCAGATATTCATTGTAACTGACTATCGAAAAACGGTAAATATGGCTGAGCCACGGTAACAATAAATTACTCGGAAAAAAGGATTTCCTGGTACGCGCGATATCAACCGTGTTTCTATTTTGTTTGCTACGCAAACGAAAAGTCGCGTTGCCTGGCGTGTCTCGATTGTCGCAGCACACCGCTGGCTATATTGAAACACGGGCGGTACAAAAGTGTTATTGCTGGCGCTAGCCTGGCACCGATTCGAACATTTCGCCACGAAATTCCGATAATCTACAAGTCCCGGAAGTAATATCGCCCTCTCTCTCCGATCTGCGCGATATACCGAAATATTTTTATCAGGGATACCAATAATCCACTTCGTATACGTTAGTTTTTTTTGGTTGTACGTTCAAAGAAGAGAGATCTCTCTCCCTCTCGACGCTCTCGCGTTACGCACGAGGGTCACGAAATATAAACGAAAGGAAGGGGGGACGAGCTTTTAGCACAGCTAGGCGCGCACAGCGGGCAACTTGAAATATTGATAATTGAACGGAATAAATGAGTAACTCATTACCTCGAAATCTAAGTCTCGCCGAACCATCCGCCCGCCTGCGTACATCCGGCAATACACGGCGTTTCGAAACTGCAAATTTGTGCGTGTGCGTCGTTTCGAGTATAAACGTCGCGACGTCACGGCTCGTTCGGAAAGAGAAACGAAATTATCTGAAAAATTCCCCGCGCGTGCTCGTGTATCTCCTGCTCGTACAGTTCAACCTTCCATAACGTCACGCCGCTGTAAATACCGGCATGCATTTCCGGCGACGGACGACGGGCGCGTCCCGGCCGTGAAGAGAGTTCGGCTGCCGTGCGTGTGCCACGAAAAAACGAACGCGCGATTCGACGGAAACATTTTTGTCCTTTACTCTCTTGTTCCTTCGACCCGTTTATTTCCCTTGAACGACCTATATTTTTCGTTCCACCAGATGCACGAGTACACGCACGCACGCACGCACGCACGCACCTCGAATCACCGTTAACGCGACGCCGCGCGCCGCGCTGGTGATGTACCGTAAAATTATGGCGATAGCTCGCGGCGTTGTATTTGTCACGGTTGCAACATAGACTTGATTTTATTGCGGCTTTTGGATGGTGACGATTAGTTTCGCCTAGTCCCGTCGCGCGCTCGATATCCCAGCAACAGGCATCGGATTACAACCGCGAAAATTCGCCGTTTCATTCGCCGCGGAATAACAGATAACCGGTGGCAACCGGTTTCCCCTCCCTTTTGGTTTTCGCGAAACGATCGAAATGCTTGAATTGATGTGTCGAGTGCGGCATTAACGCGATTACGATTACGCGACGCCATTAAAATTTATCTCGCGATTAAATCTAAATTGATCAAAAGATTTCGCGAACGGAAATTATTGCGAAGCACCGGAAATTAGAATTTATATGCGCTATAGTTATACATGCTGAAAGTTCATTTGAATAATATCTCCTAATTTATGTATATATATATATATATATATATATATATATATATATATTAATACTGTAGCTTTACGCGCTAAAACTTCCCAGCTGTTTACCTGTCCATTCTATACCTATTCGTGATTTTATTTGCATTTGTTTTCACGGTATTTTACATACGGGCGACGCATTTTCCGCTTGTTTTTCGCTCGGATTATTAATATTGTTAATAAGAAGCCGTTCTCCATTCGCGCGCGTAATCGTTTGTCTCGCGAAAACGACGTCGGTCTCTTCGCAAAAACAGACGCGCGCCGTTTTCCACCATCGACGCACAAGATCTCGCATCGTTCGCATGAAATCGTGCGCGCCGAGAGAAGCGAGCCCTCACCCTTAATGCCGGAAAAACGAGACCATTGTGATTCGTTCCTTCCCCGACCACCACCCTCCGTTTCCTTCTCCGTCCGCGTCGACAGGACTGTATTTCTCGAAAATTACCCGCGACGTTTGTAGAAAAATATGTAGGAACATCCAAGTAAAATCGCGATCTTTAAAATTGATGATCAAAGGATATAAATCGCAAATGGATGCAGAATGACACAGAATAGCAAGCAATTCTTTTAATTCTGTTTGCTAATTATTTTTAGCGATCCCGTGTCTTAAAGGTTAATTAAATGACCCGTTAATTAAAAAAGCGATATAGGTCGAGCTAAACCCGGAAAATTGAACGAAAATTGACGCGCCAATCTATAACGTTGGAACTTGCAAACGATTCCTCGGAATTAAACTTACTCCATTTCCAAGATAGGAAAAAGCGATTAACATTTATGGCGGCGGAGGGGCCGCAAATATACTACGCCCGAGCCTGCGTCTCGACCAATCGCCAATACATCGAAGCTTTTTCTCCGCTATCACATGATGGAGTGGGCGGTTGCTTGCGTTCCCGGCTAATGTTCGCTAACCGAAACTAGCCGGCATTTCCTTCGGTTTCCCATGATATTTTTCTCTCACCCCTTCCGATCGATCCTTTCCCCGTGTTTTTGCGCCATAATAGACGCACCCATCGTACCATCCAACAATTTCGTTGTGAAGTTAGCATCTCAACATTAAAATTCCATAGTACTGATTAGAGTTCCAGTTTTATTTTGGAGAGACGAAGAGTTCTCTATGGTTTATAACAATAATTCTACTTAATAACAATTTTTAACTTAAATTTATAAAATGGGGTGCAAACTCCTTATCAAAATTTAAATTAAAAAATTGTTGTTGAGCAGAACTCTTGTTATAAACTATAGAGAACTCTTCGTCTCTTCAAAATGAAGCGGGAACTCTAATCAGAACTATGGAATTTTATTATTGGAATGCTAACTTTACACACGCGATTTTTATTATCTCGCAATTAAGAACATTTACAAATACTTTGCTTTCGTTATTTTTTATAGTTATATTTTTCCTTTGAAGAGCGTATTTCTGGAATATAAATTCTAAAATGATTTCTGGACTTTGAAGTATATTTTTAGAGTGCCGAAGATATCTGAAAGGCAGTAACGAATGGAAAGTATAGGCAAAGTCCTAAAAACATTGTGCAGCTTCTTTATTTATTTTATCTATCTATTTTTCATCCCCATAATACTTTTTACCTAATTTGCAATTTATTTTTCATAGAGAAATTATTTCATCAGCGTAGTTCTTTCGAAATTAAGCTTTTCGTCAATCTGTTTTAGAAAATAGTTCACATTACACTTTGCGGAGACAAAAAAAATGATTCTAACGCATTTGATTATTCCGCAGGCAGTAGTCAGGGAATTGAACAGGCTGGGCATGCTGGTCGATCTCTCGCACGTCTCGACAAGAACGATGAGGGCGGCCCTGCAGACGACGAGGGCGCCGGTGATTTTCTCGCACAGCGCTGCCAGGGCGCTGTGCAATTCCACCAGAAACGTGCCGGACGACGTGCTCAGAAATCTGGTGAGTTCTCTGGCGTCGCATAAACACGAATATACCCGAATGCAATCGGATTGCGCTTTAAAAAAAGGGAGGTGGGTAGGGTTGGGTGGAAACGGTAAACGGATCAGTTCGATTACTCTGTCGCTGCTGATATTCCGCACTTTCCGTAACGACAAACAGGTAGCGTGCCAAACGAAACGCGCTGTCGCGAGAGGGACAAAAAAAAACGATACGTCCATTGCAATATGTACAAACGGATTTTTTTTATTTATTTATTCAGGTCTCTCCCCCCCCTTTCTTTTATATATATATATATATATATATATATATATATATATCGCTACCACGCGCGTGTCGGTCAGTTAGGAAACACTGGCGGAGTACGAGGGCGCGTTCGCGTACAGAAAACGAATGAGATATTTCTCCGCTGCCCCTCTCCCTCCCCCTCCTCTCGCCCACGCGCGCTTACAAGAGACGGATAGAGAAAATCAAAGCGGGCGCACTCGCGAAAATGTAAACCGGCGCACATGAAAGTAGTTGCCGGCTGCAGCGAGCCGCGGCTACGAGCCTTTGTTCGACCATACCCGAGATTATTTGATTTCGAGGTCGGCGTACATACATACATACATACCGCCGGCCAACCCGGGCCGCCCCTGAAGCACGGTTTTCGTGTGGTTTAGTATTGGTGAGCGACAACTGCCCGGCACCGGAATTGCGATACGTGTAATATTTGAGGAGCAGCGCGGGCAATAAAATATCCGCAGCTACGCTGTAAATGTGGTCACGGGGCATTATCGATTCCACGCGCGGCGGCGATGCAAAAACAGCCTCGTCAAAAATTTATTTAAATAATTCTAATTAATCACATCTTCGATGCAAAACTATAATAATTAGAGAGGAAATAACATTGGAGTAACGTTACCGTGAACAGCGTGCATGCAGAGATATACGTATAATAAAATTTACGGTAATAGTAAAAATATGGTAGAGAATATTCGAATGTACGAGAGAAGAAATGAAGCATACATACGCGCGAAAATAAAATAGCTGCCGACAACAAGCTTTTCCGTACGTATACGCGATCGTTTGAGTGCATGTAAAAAAAAAAAAGAAAGTAAAAATGATGCGAGAGCAAAACGAAGAGATGTGCGCGCGCGCGCACGCAGCGCGCGGGTGATTAAACGCAAGTTTTATCGACAGATCTGATATCTGGAAGTGAGATGCGTAACGTCGAAATTAAATTCGTAGCGTACGAGGCGAGGTGAGGCGAGGCAAATCGAACGTGATACGAGAGTAGTTTGCTGCAATCCCCGCGAAGTTGTAAAACGCGCGCCGCGGATCATCGGCGGCGGTGGCGGCGGCGATGCAAGAACTCGCGCGTCCGAGATCCATCAAACGCAAAGTAACATCGAGTAACATCAAGCGCGCGCACGAATTGTTCCAGTTCGCGTAACGAGATAATCTCAAACTATTCGTAATCGATGAAGGAGCGAGACACAAAGGGAGGGAGAACGAAGATATGTCAAAACGACGCTCGACAGTATAACAACGCGCCACGCCAAATCATAGCGGGAGTGCGTTAGAAGTTCCGCGAGGCTTAATCCGCGTTATTGTCGATAATTCTGCTCGCACACACATCCACCGACGTCGCCGATTGGATTAACTAATCTCTCGTGCTATATTGTACCGCGGTGTACGCACACCGAAATTTTTCCTTCACCCATTAAATTCGCGCGGGACATAAACGCGCGCGGCGCGATAATTGACGTTTCATTAATCGCGTAACAGTTGGCCGAGTAAGGACTTAAGCGCGACGCTTCATTAAAATTTCATCCCATTCTCGTGCCGCGTAACCCGTCGATTAACGATTGACGAACCGACGATGAGCTCAAGGAGCTCTGGAGTTAACGAAATTAAATTCAACTTATTGCCGATTAACTCCGGGCACTCCGGGCACTCCGGGCTTTATCGCGAGGGATACGCGATGCAAATTTTATGCTTCGTTTTACGCTCTGTGGCATTATTTATGTGGGTCATCGGATCCCACGGACGAGATTCTATACGCTGCGCGTGTAAAACTCGAAAGTTTTAATAGTTACGTATTAAAGAATTAATAACGACGTTGTAATCAAAAGTTTTATTATCCAGAAAAAGAAATTTAACCTATAAATGTGTAAAATTATGAAAGATATAAGTAGCAAACGATACCGATAACGTTAATATTTTGTAATACCACTTTGGTGTTCCCTTAGATAATACAAAGCTCTGAGCGAAAAACTTTTTAGATTAACTAAGTTTTTTAACTCTAACTATTCCAATGCCCTTAATACCGCCTAACAATTTGTATTCTAATGCCTAATATTTCGTTCTTGAAAAATCATATTGCTTCGTTCATCGATTCTTTTGCAACACATTTTCAACTTGTAAGATAGTACGCATGAAGTATTGACAACCATCCTCGAGAAACAAGATGGTTAAGTACTTAGTAATTAATCGAAATTTTACTCAATTTCTTGAAGTCAACCTAACATCTCCCGCGAACTTCGTTCTCTTCTCTTTCTCCGTGGGCGATCAATATTCCCTTAATTATACCCGCAGAACGAGAGGATGAGTAACAGCGATCTAAGCCGGATGGCTTGTCCGGTAACGTGTTATTAACCGCCGTCGTCCTGCTGCCCTAATTAACATTGCCCATGCAGTTTAAGCGAGGATATAGGTATCAAATAGACAACTGCGTGTTCCTTGAAACAGTTTCCCTGATAGCTCCCGCGTTCAGTTGCTTCAGCGAAAAACAACTTGAGATCAGTGTTATTTAAGTTATTTTATGTTGATTATATTGATTAGAAAGTCTTTTCATAATATTTATTGTGACAGTAATTTTATTTTATTTTATAAATATTAATTTTCTCGTTCGAAACGTCGATTTCTTTGATGTAGTTATACATTATTTCGTGTGAATCTTTAAGTGTATTGTACAATAATCTGCATAAACGGATTAAATTAATAAAACATTGGCTTTTACATAGCAAATTTTCGTCCATGAGATTCTAAAGAGTGGCCGTTAAAATTTTTAACAACTGGCCATTCTCTCGCGAACAGTAATTTCACTAGTAGGATAACGTACATTACTGGCTTTACTGCATTGATGTATTTCCGTGTCATACGTTTAGAGATCGAAAGAAATACGATCGCGCAGCGTGTGTGACATTAATGCATCTGTTCACAGGCTAAGAATGGCGGAGTGGCGATGGTCCCTTTTTATACCTACTTCATAACATGCAACAGCACCGCTACTATAAAAGACGTTATAGGTATGTTGCAACGCTATACGCGAAACTGTGCTAAGCTACACCCCGGGAGTAAATCATATCGTATCGATATTGCATGTGACAGACAGATAATTACTACACACGTGTTTTACGTCATTTTGACACGTTTTCTGCTGTAAATTTAATTTTACGGAGTGCATGCTCTCTTAAAAAGATGTAAAATTAAAACGATAATAAATAAATGCATTCGATATTTCTCGAGTGAGGGAGGTAAGCATCTCAATATGTATTAATGTGCATCGCACAAATATTGCATAAGCATCCTGCAATTCATCTTGCCATTTTTTTAATGATGATTTTTTTAATGTTTTCCTCCAACACTCGCAAATATTTGAAGAGGTTCGTTGTCCTAGCAATAACAAAAAAAAAATTGTTTATTTTATCTATGCATGCATGACATAATTTCGTAAGCGCATTATCTCATAAACGCGCTATTCCCCAATCACATTCTATTCCCACGGGTACTGCATGCATTTATATTAAAATATTTTATATTAAAATATTTTGTGACGCGCGCCCCTGTCACCGGGACGAAATGATTAAGGCCCTCGTATTGTTTCAGCACACATCAATCATATTCGAAAGGTGGCGGGAATCGATCACGTCGGGATCGGAGCGGGTTTCGACGGGATAAATTTGTAATTATTCTTTCACTACGTCTATTTTCGCGCGCGTAGAAGCACTCAGAGAGACAAACACGGCGTCGCCGGTAAAAGTAATTTGGTTTCCGTAACGCTTATGATTAATCTCGTCGAAAGGGGTATACCGGGCCACCGCAATAAATCTGGAGCTCGACGTAAATATGTATTTAACCTACGGAGAGTTCCACTTTTACAACACTCGGGATAATTGCCTCGCTTGTTTTGAGAAGCGCGTGAGTCCCGGGAGGTTAATTTTATGGAGGAGACGCAAGAAACAATGCCCAAGGAACTGCTTTTGTTCCGCAGTCATGAAACTTTCACAAAGTGCCTATCACGGTTCTTGTAATGCATAGTAAATATATCGTAGTAAAATATATTATGCAACTTTCCCCCATGCTTCTAGTCGCAATAATTCTTCCAAAATTTACCTCGGTTTAACATTCAAATTATAGTTTTTAATCCTTTATATTGGTTCAGAAATAAAATTAATTTATATATTGACGGGAATAAAAATTAATTTATATTTATGGTATCGAATATCGCTATATTGTAAAATCTAAAATCACTAAAATATGTTATTCAAACAGAAACACAAGATTTTGTAGTTTTATGATTAAACTTATATAGTGCTTGAATTAATGTGCACTCACAATCAACTAGTCAATTGTGCAAAAATATTTTCTATCTTCAAGTTCAATATTTATTCATAACAATAATCAGACTGCTCAGACTGCTCCTAATGTGAAGAATCTCACAAAGGCCCGCGTATCTGCAATAATGCGTGGGACACACGTCAATTACAAGGACAGTACCGAGGCAGAAGTATAAGTATTAAAGACCAGTTTCACGACGCTAAATATATCAACTCATTGTCAGATTAGCTAAAAATATAATTCACATCGTTTTCAAAACAAACGAGTCAATCTTCAATTTATTGTTACGGTGCTCTTTTACAAAATGAATACAGAAAGAACACTTTTGCTGAATCCAGATCTGAAAATAATTTTTGTTCATTAATCAAAATAATTTTGTGCGAAAGTCAAAATGATTGCTAAAATATTGAAAACGTTTTAGCAGTATCAGTTTTAACATTTCAACAAATTATTTTGATGATTTAATAAAAAATTATTTTCAGATCTGTATTTAGCAAAATTTTTAGATCTTTCAACAAAATCGTTCTTTCCGTGAACGTATAACGCGTCGAGCATAGCAAGCTTGTCGTCGTTCTCTGAGTGTTATCTCGAACCTAAGGCCAAGTTAAAAAAGAAGATCGTTTGATCCTCACGAGATTTGTCGCTTTTGCAGCACTCCCACGGGTTTAGAAGATGTCTCGAGGTATCCGCAACTATTGGCCACCTTGCTGGAGGATCCTGCATGGACGGAGGAAGACATCAAGAAACTAGCCGGCCTCAACTTGCTGAGGGTATTCGCGAAAGTCGAACAGGTACGGCGATGTTCGTTTTTTTTTTTAATCAGCTAGAGAACGCCATTTCTTTTACGATCATTATTTACGCCGGTTGTAAACGAAAAGCCCTTCAGCCGGCTCGAACAAAACACGTAATCCTACGCGACGCTCGAGCTAATTCCGGATATCTGACTATACGATTAATCGCGCGCGCGCGCTAAAATTTATTTCAGCGCTATTGGACGATCGTTAAAATTTTAGCACTCTTTGTTACGCACGCACCAAGCTAATTGAACGCGATTATAACTCGACGTCGCTCCTGTTTTCGCGAGTTCGTTTTCGCAAATTATTTTCACGCTCGGAGTAAAAATAATTCTATATACGGCATAAAAAGAAGAATAAAAACGGTAGAAACTGGTTTTTCAAGCAAATCGAATAGCTTGAATAAAAAATAAAAAAATTAATGAAAAACGAAATATTATACAACGGCTATAAACAACGTGCGAGTATTTTTGCAGAGAAAAATTTACAGCAAGTGCTATACGTAATTTTCTTCCCAAAACGATCGGTCCTGATAATTTTTTTTCCTGGAAAAATATTCCAAAATAGACTGTCGAGCATATAGATCGATTTCGCTCTCCATTTCTCATTATCTCGCTGCAGTTCGCAATGACTGTCTTTTTCCTGATAACAGGTTCGTGATGAGTGGCACAGAGCGGCGGTGTTACCGGTGGAGAAGATCAGTCCGCCGGACAACTCGGCCTGCGTCTACGGCGCGTCCTGATCCTCTTTGGGGACAATCGTGCCGGGACTGCTCGACTTTGCGCGATCGCCGAAGACCCTGCGGTTGCCGCGGTATTACTGGAGCCTGTAAAAGGAGCGTCCGCGTGCATGCACCGAATCGCCAAAGGATTCCGTATCCGTGAGGAAGGGCTACCGGGTATCCGTCAAATGGAAAACGACCGACCAATCTTACACCGAAAAGAGAACTGCCGACTTCCACTTCAGGGACTCCGTCGCGCCTTAACGAGTGAGACGAAGATTCAGCGCGGGAACGCGACCCGGTCCTTCGAAATTAATGGCGTCGAGGATCCTTCCGAGACACCTTTGGGACGCGGCGGGAGCTCCGTTCGCGCACCCCCGCGACACCGTTCGGAAGAGGATCTCTCAAACGCCGTTAGCGACAGTAAAATTGCGATCGCACACATTTGAGAAATAATTATCCGCCTCTTATAAACACCCACTTATTTTTGTGACATCGGACACGAATTACGTAACCTCGTAATGTTAAAAGAAGGATTAACGACTTATTTTTAACTCGATGTTTCTTCCACTTGCGAATTATTCGGCAATAATCTTGCGATCATTTGTCAGGCATTTCCGTCCAGACTTCAAACTTAATAATCCGGACACTTATTCATTATTTCGCAATTTGCATCACGTAAACTAGCGTTACGTTGAAGCGAACATGCTTTATATACGCCGTATTATATATTTTACCTTGAATTAAATAATAATTTAAAAATCGCAGAAAATACGAAAATTTGAAAGTACGAATCACGATCTCATAATTTCGCAAATTACAAACTGCAATTTTTAACTCATCAGAATGAATTTAAATTATCTTGCTAATCGCAAAGGTGATCGGGGAGGATTCTCGAAAAAATTTTATCGAAAGAAATAGAAAGTCATATTCTCAGCGTGCATTTAATACCAACTATAGTCGGCTGATTCTCATATCACGTTTCCAGCACATGCAAGCACGAATCTATTAAAATTAAATAAAATCTAGAACCAGGCAGCCATATTTAGCGTTAAATGTACAAGAATATGGGCAGATTGTATGGGATAACTGTACGTGATTAATCGCGTAAGATTTCTTGCGTCAAGAAAAAGCCGAAATACAAATAGTTCGAATGGAGTACACAATTATCGTCTCAGGCGTTGCATTTCTATCGTTCTTTGTACTTCGATCAGAGAACGATCGTAAATGACATCCACTGTCATACACCAACCAAAGAGATAAGCCATACTTTTTATAATTTTTAGATGAATTAACGATACTGTACTATATATTAAAAATATCCTGCGCGTCCTAAGAAATATTTGAATTCAATCACCCACGGTTATACGAGAATCGTAAAAATTAATAGGAATTCGTACTGCCTATACATTTCCATCAATTTATCTTTATTTAAGCTTGCATACATATATACCTCTTTTAAATACAATCATATCTCGAGAAAAATCTTTCCTCCAAAACTTGCACTCTTTCTTTTTTTTACATTTTGACTTGGTAATCGTAAAAGCTTTTCTAAATTCTCCATCAAATGGAGAAATCTCCGTTTTTGAATTCTTTTTGAGCATTTTGCACTTAGTCGATCCATAGAGAGAAACGTAAGCTGGATACAAAAAATTTCGTACCCCTTCTTAATTTGCATTGAACATTAAATACATGAATAAGCGTTAAAAAGCTGTTTTCAAAGTTCACTTAAGATTAAATGTAGACTAAGATTTCGTTACTTGTTATTTTGTACTTTTCAAGGGTAACGTACGAAAGATCACTCATATCCAATCGCTTATGATTGAGAAATTATATTGATATTTCGATAGTTTTTAAGATGGAATGACTCCAAATCCAAATGGTCAATGAATTCGCCACCGGTGTTTGTCAGTGTAATTTTGAAACGCCCTATACATGAATATCGAATCAGACAAGTGCGCTTATGATGTGCGAATATAACGAAGTCTCCAAGGAGAGAGAGAGAGAGAGAGAGAGAGAGAGAGATACTAAATTTCTAACGATTAAAGCTTCGAAGGTAGCTCCCCACGCGTCAATGATAGAAGAAAAACAAGAAACAGAGTAAACCGCGCACTCGCTTTGTGGTGAGTCACTTGCAATTCACATTAGCAACGCAACGAAGCGAAATTTCCTGTTAATCGCGCATCGATTCCATTTTCAAACATTGACTTGCTACTTTCTGTATATAAGATACAAGCTTAACGCTCTTGTCCGGATACGCGCTATCGATAAAGCTTCTAACTGAAATCGCATCGCCAAAGAATATCATCGGCTACTCTCGAAATCTATACTTCGACATACGCTACTTCATTATGCTTACGAGTGCGATGTACGACTCGCGTTGCCGATATTAATTCACTGCCACACTCATGCTGGACTTTACGAACACCTCGACTCACACGTCTATATGGCACTCTTACAAGTTCCTCGGAAACGTAAACAAAGACGTAACAATGTTGAGTTGACGATTCGATTGGTAAATTCAACGGAAATTTCTCATAACGACTTGCAACCGCGATACATCTCTATATATCCGCATAGGACAGAGGCTTCAGACGGAGCCAATCTATATTTACGTTATTTCGCACAATTTAGCTCGAGTTTCACCGCTGCTACTTGCTGCCCCGATTGCACGAACTGTCGTCCTGAATCGTCCTATACAGCCACAAGTGCTTTGATAAACAAGACGTTGATTTAAACAAATCCATTTGCAGCGCACGTAACGCGACCTATACCTCTTCGGAGGCTATCTCTCGCTCCAATACGCAAGCCGTTCCATTTTTGAAAATGGCGTGCAACAGTTTTTTCACAAAAGTAGAAAACCCGTAGAGGCAGATTGCACACTGGAATTCGTAGTCCAGAATTTAGGGTGCGTCGAACTTGGACTTACGCCACTTTCAAGATAGCCGTATCGACCAAGAAAAACCTCCTGGATGCGTCGCGGATAAGTTTTGTGACTTCTCTCAGGGCTGTGATATTTTCCGCGGGCCTCGTGAAACATTTCGTGCTTCCATCTTAAAAAAAAAAACTAAAATAAAATCGGGGCGCGTCGCAGAAGGGAGAGGATGTATCGTCGAAGAGAGCAGTCGCATTGTACGATTATTGCGAGTCGAAGACGTGGGTACGTTACGCTCAAACAATTCATTAAAACGATATAATAGTCGGTTTAGCTACACGAACAGGAATACGCTCCTCGACAGAGAAAAGATATAGCAGTACCTACTTCGTAAGAGATATTTCAGAAATGTATCCAGGAGCCTCTCTCTCAGGAGAAGAGACGAGGGAAGGCTCGCCGAAAGCTTTTGGTAATACAGATATAATTTTTAATTTCGTACCTTGTTACAAATCACACATAGTCTTGTAAACGCTTTTATAGTTATTCAAGGAAAATTTTTATAGTAAGGTAAACACAGACATTATCTACAGCTCAATCGACCGTCATACCGCTTTAATCGAACGCACTCGCGAGGACGTCGCGTAGGAAAAGAGAAGCGTGCGTCATTTCGTCGATGTGCGCCGAGATTTTCCGATTACGACTTTGTTATAATAACGCATTAAGTGATAAGCAGTTTATGGAAGGATATAGATCTCCGTAGAGCGAGGACGGATAAGAAGCATAAGACGTAGTCTGTAGCGTGGACTTGTACATCCTGTACGAAGAAGTTTTTTCGATACTAAACACTCCGTTAAAACGCGAGAGAGCAACACGCACGTTATACACACTATTTGTGAGAAACAATCGATGCCTTCGAACGACTCGCGGCGCTGTTCCACGAGCCACGGGATTTTTCGTCCGCACAAAACTCTGTCGGAGAGCTTAGACTCTCTCTCGACGAGGGACATGCTTTTGCAACTCGAGAAAAAAAAACAAGAGCATGAGTTTAATAAACTTAGTCGTTAATTAAAGGTATATCGTTGGCTGTACGTTCCCCGCGGCAACATTCGAGTCCCGATTTCAATGAAGAAAGGCGAATTCCTTGTTTTCCCTCGAAATAAAGCTGTCAGCATGCATTTATCCCCAAGAGATCTAGCGAGATACAGTGAAAATTGTCAAAATACCAAAAAAAAAAAAAAAGAGAAGTTTACGATTAATTGATAACCGTATTTAGAGAGTGAGGCGCAGCTCCCTTTTACATAAATTTTAGCAGCAATAACGCAAGTAACCGCCAGATAGTCTACTGATAAGTAGCATAAACGACCAATAGGAGGATACGTATAATTTCTAATTCGTACCGAGTAAGTCTAACGAGTACGTAATTACGGCACTTTGCTCAATACCACCGATTAGGACGTCAGGAAGACACACACACACGTACACAAACACATACCGTTCTTTCCGTAGCGTTTCCGTAATGTAAAACCATCGTAAACTTAAACTACGTTTAGATGAAAAAAATCGCGCGGCCGCGTGTCACGGTTATTCTTTATAAATAATTTATTGGATCTTTCCTCCGCGCGCGCGAGCAGACGCCAAATATTGCGAGCCTCGACTCAAGAGTCGAGGGAAAAACCATTATAGATAATTATTTTGAATGTGTATGAGTGAGCCGACATGTGAGCGAAACAAGAAAGAGAGAGAGAGAGAGAGAGAGAAGATATTGTAAAAAAAAATTCCGGAATAATTTCGAGCGTTTCGAGAAGGTGGACGCGAAAATCGTATCCGCAACACAACGTGTCAATTATTTATGTAGACGAAATGAAATTTATCGATACGCACCCCCGTGCCTCGTATCGTTTGGACAATCTATAATTCTCGAGTTTAGTTGACCTCGAAGTAACGTTTCGTCTTACGTTCACCATCACTTGCCATTACTTACGATATATACATGAGAAAAATCCAATAAAAAGAAGATATAATATATGCGTAAACGTTATGAATGTAGTCGTTCTTTTCTCGAACAGCTCGACCATTATTCTCCCGATAGATCAACGTGTTCATTTTGTAATCTAACGAGTAGACGACGATCAACCACGCACGCGAAATAGAATTCATTTCTTTCTAAGATGTCGTAACGGAGGAGAGAAGAGAAAGAGAGACGAGAGAGGAAGACAACGGCGAGAAAGGGAAAAGAGATCTTAGTTATATAAACCTTAACGTATATACCATAAACAACACACAACTGCCTAGAAACTCAGATTAATAATATATATATTATACTTACTACATTATATACAATTAATTAAAAAAAAATTGACATGTCTAAGCGCACAACAACGAGCGAGTTTTGGCAGAACAAGGGACGTGCGTGTAGATAGAATCTATCCAACCGTGACCGAAGTACGCGTACGCTATATGTATGTACATGGTGTCCCAAAACCACCGGAACATATTTCAATAACAGACGTGGTTGAATTACAAGTGAAAATGTAATATTAAAGAGCGAGGCTTCAAGGTGACAGGCGGAGAATAAAATCGTATTGTTTGACATTCAGGTCGGTTTTAATTACTTTGATAAAGCATGGATCGGCGCCGCAAACTTTTTAGCGGAAGCTTAAAGGGATCGCGCGGCAGCACGATGGGTCTTCCGTGAAGATTCCTCCCTAAAGAAATATCAAGTCCGCGCGTGTGAAGTGAAGTAACAAAAGGCCGTCATCGAAATACGTACTGGTAGTTTCGAAACGCACCGTATACAGGAGGCGGAAGGAGGAAGCTGGAGTCAGTTTCGCAACTGTACTCGAGAGACCATAAACGCGGCACACATTTCTGACCGCCAGCCCGACGATTTTTCACTTCGTCTGGGGCGAGAATAATGCACTCCCGACCACTTGCCGCGAAACAAGTTTTGCGGTCGAACGTCGATACATCGAGCAATGCGAGCGAAAACAAACACGTCGACCGGTGGCAGCCTCCAGCCGCGAGGTAGCCGCGATTCCCGCGCGTTATCTCGAGGCGAAGTTTGCTGGTTTTTGAAAAGTTAAACGTGCACCCGCGGGGAAGGCCGCGCTCCGCGGCGCGTCAATAATGCAGCCGCAAGAAAAATCAGTTGCCAGCGACGCCGGCTCGTCAAACACGTCGCTTTTTTTTTTGCAGATATTCGTGTACCGCGGACTTCTTTCGCTGGCCAGGATCGTCCTGACCCTGACGCTTTATTCGAGTGAAATAATAATTTCAATTCGCGAGAGAGATGCATCTTTTATTGACTCTCGACGTCAAGAATCTCGAGGCGAAGTGTAACGCCGATCGTTATCGACGTAAACGAGTCGACTCGACGTCGGATAGTCGTATTGCGTCAAGTTGGTCTAAAAGGGAGGGAACCGGGGGAGGGGGGGGGGGGTAGCTGTAAATTTCCGGCGACAAACTTCCAGCCGGAGATACGACGTGAAACTTTCGCCCGCTCGCATTTTCGATTTATCGCTTTGTCGAACGCTCGAGATGAATCCTAGAAAAAGAAGTGACACGATCGCGAATTGGAGCACTTTAGAAACACCGTGTTCTGAAGGGCATCGCCGTTTATCGAGAATTCGGGAATGAGAAGCGGGAATGGGAGAGGCGTTTAAAGAGAAATCTCATTATCAACAAATACAAGTACAATCAGCAGGATGCCTCGAGCTGTTCGATGACTATGTACAGCGTGTAAAAGTTTTTAGAAAAATTTAACTACGTGGCGGGATGAGAGAAAGAAAAAGAGAGAGAGAGAGAGAGAAAATATATGTATGTATATGTATGTATGCAAGAGAATGAAAGTGAGAAAGCAAGAGTGAGAGAGATTTGCGAAACCCGTGCGATGAAAATACATTACGATGATTAATGCATGGCCAGATATTACAGACGCTATGAAAATGAGAAGAGACGATATAGAGAAAGTTTTAATAAATTAATTCTTAACGCTATATGAAAAAAGACAAGAAACACTATTGATACCTACTACCTAAGAAACATATATATATATATACATATATATATATGATAATATACACACATTTACACAATCAGAGAGAGAGAGAGAGAGAGAAACAGAAAGAGGGAATAAAGAAAATGAAAAAAAAAACGAGAAACATAAACACATTGTACATGGCATCCTATGAACGTAATTATAAATATATACCGATATGTGCGTAATTACATTAATATCTATGAAAATTAGGCATCGATGTACTTGCGGACGTAAAACGTGCATGAGATTAACTCACTTGCTATTATATATGAGAACAGATAAATATATACTATATTCATCCCAGGATATCCCAAAATGCTACCGCCATTTCCTTCATTTACGAATTATTTGATTAATTTTCGACCCATCTTCTCATAATTCCTTTATAGTATTAAATACTTCAAAATTAAAAATATTAGATATTTCGATTAAGTTACTCTTAAATTGTTAAAATAATAAAATAGATTGAAAAGCATATTTCGTTAGTCAATATTAACAAGAAATGCCTTCCATTTTTAGCTGCTTGTAATTCAAAGATTATTCGCACCTCGTTATTTAAAAATACCAAAATCCAAATTGATCAAAGAATTCTTAGAGAATAAAATGGGCGATAGTTCTGGAATATCCTGTACGTAACAAAAGAGGAGAACGAGGGAAAAATATGAATGTATGTAAAAGAAAGGTATATATGAAGAAACCCGTTGCAAGAGAGAAAGAGAGAATGCAAAGAGAATAGGAATTAATTAATCGAGAATTTTTTAAAGAAAGTTGTCGGGCCGCGTTTTTCGAGCGCACGCTCGTCGGCTTCGACGAACTTAGGAAAATATTTACAAATGATACATTCACATTGACAGAGGGTTTTTAGTTAGTGAGTGAGAACGCGCGGTAAACTTAGATCGTGTATAAACTAATTTTAGGAATTTTTTGTTGGTTTGATGTTAGAATTGGCCCCGGGGAGAGGAGCGTCGAGTCGATCGTCGTGGAGGCGCGTCGTGAACTGCGGCAATAAAATCGAATCGTATCCGCTAATGAGGTCGTGTCCGCGTGTAATTAAGGCCGGCGGGACTCTTATCGCGACGGCAGTTTGCAAAAACGACTTTCCCTTAAACTCGCGCTTAAACACCGGCTTGTATCGAAGTGTATAGCGTAACTCGCCCCTCGCGATTAAGCGGCTTTATATTAATTAGACGCGCTTGATCCTTGCTATGAAACTCAATTTTACGATACCGTACTGTATAAGCCAATTGTAGCCCCAACTGACTCAGCAACATTTCTACTCGATTTCTTATTATTGATATAGATGATTGTTGAATTTTTAGCGTATACGTGTATAAGAAGTAAAGAAGGTTGTTAACGAGTAAAAACAAAAAGGTAAGCGTTTAAAGAAGTATATTTAAAGAGACGTTTCCCCCAAAACTGAAGTTTGCAAATATCATGGATTACGCGCCATTTTACGGCGTATATAGGCCAAGTTATTGAAATGAATTAGGTAATCTTGCAAACTTCGGCCGATAAATGCGACAAGTGATACAATCCGCGACCTCGACGAGAAAGAGAGATTCGATTTTACGTGTCGATTATTAAAAAAAAAGAGAGAGAGAGAAATTGTTACTTCGCGCAACGAGGCGAGTTTCGCGAAGAGCGGACGAGGACGATCGCAACGGCGACGATTTTATCTACGTTAATCTAGAAGACATTGCTGGAACAATGATTTGTACGCCTTCTATGAAGGACCCTAGAGTACATTATGTTACCTAATACTCGTAAGCACACATTATCTAATAAATATTATTTACAAAATCAGCCGGGCTGTTTACATGATATTTACTTTACATATCCCTGAATGCATTACAAACTTTCGTAATTAATATATTCAATCCATTTATAAGAGGAGCAGATAAATAAATAATAAATGATTGCCTATACGATATACAGACATATTAACAGTATTAAAGTTAATATTTATTTGAAGGTTAAAACTTATCCTCGTTTTTATTGAGAAAATAAAATAAATAAACAAGATTATTAGAACGTCCAACGATTAAAATCACAATAATTAACAAAAAAAGACTATGAAAATTAGATACGATGAAAGGTGCGCAAATTAATGGTATTATATATGCGATAAATAAAATAATTTAATGAGATGAAGTAAATATTATAACATTTCATACGTTTCGGTTAATTTTTAGCCATCATTAACGACATAATTACAATTAACTGTAATCATGCCGCTGATGGTTAAAAGTTAAACTGAAACAAAATGTATTATTTACTTCATCTCAATAAATTATCTTATTATCGCATATAATACCATTAATTTGCACACCTCTCACTGCGCTTAACTCCCCTAGCCTTCATTTTGTTAATTATTGTAAAAGTTTTCCACAGAATTATTTTGATGTGATCCAACAAAATTATTTTTAGATTTGTATTCAGCAAAATCGTTCTTTCCACATAGTTTTGTGCATTCCGAAAACAGCGAAGTATAATTTTAATAACTTAAAAAGAATAAGTTTAAATCACGATAATCTTCTTGCAGCAATTTGACTTTATTTCATTGATTTACTAAAACTATAATTTTTTATTTAACAAAATTACACGATTTTATGTTTCTATTAAATGAAATCTATAAATAGTTACAATAAAAATAATTTAAAAGCCGTTCTTTGATTAAAGTAAAGATAAGCCTTATTATTCAAATAGTACGTTTATCAATTCTTTTTAAACGAACCAAATAAATAATATACATACATCAGTTATTCAAGTTATCATTAAAAGAAACAAATAATTCATCGCATCGCAATTAAAATTTGTAATTATAATAAAATATACATTTATATATAGCTATCAAGCGGATTGAAACAAGTTGTCACGTTAGTTGAAATTCAAAAGCAATAACATTTCCATTTCAAAACGCTCCTTCAATCGGCATTAATCTCGATGCTAACGAGTTCGCGAAACGAAGCGCAAAAGACGTAGATAATAGTTCATTTTCAATCGAGATTATTAAAATACGCAAAGTGGAATCTTCTGTTTAATAGTATGTACGTTAAACGTTTCAAGTGTTTGGCCTTGGTGTTGCCTTGGTGTTTGCTGCGGAATACAAGCGCGTCGAACGGCAAGGTCGTCGAACGCCAAGGCCGCCGAACGAACGCCTTGTTGTTACTCGCGCGAGGCTCGAGTCGGCAGCATGCCGCTCCGCGTGTCGCCGTGTTATCCATCGAAACGCGATTATTTCCCACGAACAATTAGCTCGATTATCATCCCGTGCAATTACACTTCCGCGATTGACGATGGTAAGTCTATCGACAATTCATCGATATGCAAGCATTTCGCGCGATTTATTAATTATGAAATGTTGTTTACGTGGACGAGCGGGATAATGATTTATTTAACAATAATTCGAATGCATCGAGTTTTGAAATATCCGCCGATTTAATTTGTTTGTCATTTTCAGAATGGAAACGCGGAGTCTAAATACGCTAAGCGCCTCGAAATATATCCCAGATAGCACAGAGAGAATTGAAAAAGAATTCGGTCGTATGTCATCAATTCTAAATTAATTTTCAGATGCAAAAAGAATTCTTTTTTTAGAAATTCTGATTGCGAATGTACGAATAAATTCTTTTTTAATTCTGTGCTATTGTTCTGGGTATTGTATATGCAATATTGAATTTTGATAGAAAATCGATTTTCAGATAATTGGATTTTAATTAAATCATTAATTTAACTTCATTAATCGTACTGTATTGCGCGAAATTAAAATATCAACGTTATTTTCTAATTTTTCGCTTATAAACGGAATATCGCGTATATACGAAACAGATCGACTGCGAGTCGAGCAGCACGGCGTGCTGAGCACGCGTTTGATTTAGCAAACCTTCGATTTGCAGCCTTCGATTTTGATCGTCGTGTTAATTTACCAGTTTTACGAATGTCGAGCGAATCGTGGAACCTCGCATTAGTTTCACAATCGCGTTTCGACGAGATTCCATCGTAATGTATATACTGTAAAGTGCGCGTGGCGTGAAATTAATGTCGGGAATGCCGTGCCGTGCGATTATCTTATTGTTAGTATATAATATGCGCGACAATTGGCCGAGTTTTCGCGAGTGTTATAAGTATATAATGAACGAATTTGAGAGGAGAAGGAAATCTGAGAGGCACTGGATAACAGCGGAGCAATCATGGGGTGAGTAAAAATTGATCGAAATGAGCGTTGAAAACGTTAACGTCTGTCTACGGTAACTAATTATAAAATATTGATTGATGATACACTGTCAAGATATCTGATAAATGATCTCCTTGGCTATAAATTACATAAACTTGAGCAAAAATAACGTACTGATATCGGAAAAAAAATAATAATAATCCCGGTTAAATTCCGATATTATGCATCCAATATTATGCACCTTCTTACCACGTATATAAACAAATAAAAATAGCATCGCGTATACTGTACATCGCGGTATAAGAAGATTAAAATAAGATCGCGAACTTAAAAAATAAATTCAGCCGTTAAAATAAAACGGCAGTAAATATGTGAGAAATATCCGAAAAAAAATCTAAATCTGCTCGTATATTTATTTAGATAATTAACATTCCTGCTGCTTCTTGTATAACTTCCCGCGTACACAAATATTTATGTCTTTAGATACTGAATTTCGCTGAATGCCCGAATACCTACGAATTATACGAAACTGTCATTCGCACGCTACCTGGCCGCGACAGGTGCATTTGATACGCCGCGGAATCGGCGGGTAAATACGCATATAACGGCGGGGCGGTATCGGACGCGCATAACCGACCGTCGAGAGAGAAGCGGAGGAAAGAGCGACCCCCCCGGCTAAAAGGACCCTTATCCTCTCACGGAGAGAGCGGAGAGAACAGAAGCGCTCCGCGATAATATATAACACACCATCGATCCGCCGACGGCGGTGGCGAGTGCGCACTGGGCCGGCGCGAGACGCTGCGCGCCGCGCGCCGCTCCGGCCGCGGGTTTTCGGCGTGGCCACCCCGTATAAAACCGTGACCGGGGTCACGGCGCGATACCAACAGGTGATGCCGAAGGAGGAGGAGGACACTCCCTCGAGCGGCATCTCGTCGAGCGTCTCCCACGGGTCCCGCCGCCACTGCCGCTGCCGCCGCCGCCGCCGACGACGACGACGACGACGACGGTGATTTAATATCGCTCTCTTTCTCTCTCTTTCTCTCTGGAGCCTAGGCGCTCGAGGAGGCCTCCCCGTATTGCCTCACGGACCATATTGCCGACCAACCGCAGGAAATCCCATCCAGCCGAAGGGAAAACTCGCTGCCACGGATAAACGCGCGGCGGTCGCATCCACTTTATATAGGGCTCGGGGCGGGATGCGGGAGGAAAATCGGGCGAGAAACGTCGACGAGACGAGACGACGAAGCGGCGAAAGTTTCGATCGGTCGATGATTTAGTGGGCAGGCCGTTTCATACAGTGCTATACCCTACCCGACTGCTGCGATTCTTCCCGACGCAGCTTCCCGCGCGCGTCCTCCTCCAGCCCCCGCGAGGAGCACCGACGTGCTGCACACTCGGGGATGTAGTTACGCGGTTGGCACGAGCGCGGGATCGACGGTGCGGGGACGAGTGATGCGATGATCGAGTGCACCCTTCCACGCGCTGGATTCTGACAAGGTGAGCGATTTTGAGATCTTCAGATGTAAGCGCGGCGGGCGAAGGCGTGCGTTCCTCGAAACGAACTGCGTACGACAGCCGAATCGAGCGAGTAAATCTTCGCAATATCCTTTAATTATACTCCGATACTGTCTCGAACTCCGACTGACTCCTGAATTTTGCTAAAAGAAAATTGTTGGAACTTGAAAGTCTCCGATCCGTTTCCCACCCACATACATATTTCTATTTCGACCTACCGCGCACTCTGGGCCCGCGTTTATCGAGTGGAAAATATCGACTGTGTAAATTGAAAATAAACCTTCCGAAAGCAACTCGAGAAAGTGTATTTGTAAAAATAGATTCGTACACGGTGGAGATACGAGAGCGGTGAAACTATACGATTGTGCGAAGATACGATCGAACGAACGGCGCGCGATGTAAGGCAATAACAGAAATTCTTTCCCCGAGATATAATGACATTCCATTGGTAGGAATACATTAAAAGTGTTTTGTGGGAATGCATAAAGGAATCCGAGGGGCCATTGTAGCCTGCAGACAGGATATTTCACTGTTCAACGGGCCGCGTGTATAACGGACATCTTCGCTTTATGTATATGAAATCATTGATTTCCTCTTGTCGCTCCGCATTCAGAGTCCGATTGCACGGCACTTCTGACTTATTAATAACCAAATCCCCCCAAGATTCCAATGCAGTTTTACTCCTCGGTTCGCTGGCCTCGATAAAGGCTGTCGAATGTATCGAATATAAATGACTCGAGATGCCGTGTGAAGATTCATCTCGGTCAGCACAGTTTCTTCGGCGACTGTCGCTATTTCTGAACGAGAGCAATCACGCACAAAGAGTACATTTCACTTTGAGTAGGTACAATCGCATCGGCACGAGCCGATCTAGAATGGAATAAATGCGTCAGTATCGATGCGTCGTGTATATTGAAAACTGCGTATACATTATTGAACACATTCAAGAGAAAGTTGCAGAAGGCGATTTCGTGAAGATCGCATCGCGTACGTAGCCAATGTTACGTTAAACGGTCTACGTGTCTGAAAAAAAAAAAAACGTCGCGAGAAGCGTCTCCTTACGATATAGAAAATTCGATTCGGTTTAATTATATCGCGCAAGCTGACGAAAGTGAAATGAGACGAAGCGAAGAAGAGAGAGACAGAGAGAGACACGGGCACGAGTATACAAATCGCCCTGGGTATCACCGTGTTTTCTTAGTTCGCCCGCGCAACACGTGTCGGAATAAAAATAAAGCGCCCGCGCGTCGATGTGCTCTCACGATGTACGGCGCCTAAAATTCCCTGAATTTATATCGCGCCGCGATATAAATCGTTGATTAGCGGTCGTGGCGTCTTCACCGCGCGGCAGTAACTTAATAGCACTGCGTGAAACTTTAGCGTGTGTGTGTGTGTGGGGGGGGGGGAAGGAGGCGACGTAGCGTTAATTTCACGATGAAGCTATGATTCGGGCGTCTGATCTCATCGGAAGCGGAGAGGAAAAGTCAAAGGTGGACGATCGTAATCGTCGTCGTCGTCGTCGTCGTCGCTCGGCTTCCTCCCGCGGAGGGCGCGAAACGTGAAACGACAAGGACATACTGTGACAACGGCGAGAGGTAGGATAGGTGAGCCGTGGTAATTTAAATAATTCTCTGAGTGGCCTTCTCTCTGCACGAGCTAAAAATTTTAGACGTTTCGGAGGACAGGTAGGAGAAATGTTTTAAAAGCACCTCTCGCGTTTACACAAAAGCGAGACGTATACACGGCGCGCAGAAGCGACATAAATAATTTAGCTTTATGTATACTATTCTACGGGGTGTAGTATATATAAAGATGATGTATATGCAGTATGTGAAAATGGCTGGAGATAAATGAAGTCGTGATGCGCGCCGACCGTACGCAAGGACTCCGCATCGGGGAAGATTGCATTACGGGGAGTAATTAAAAATGTAGATTTCAACGGCGAGGCAATAGCGATACCCCATTAAATCTCTCTCGCCGTGCGTGGTACTTTCACATTCATCCCGAAGCGACGCGCGGAACAGCTAACAGATAAATATGGATCTCTGGATAGGTATAATTATATAGAATACACTGTGCAAACAGCACGCTCTTTCGCTAAACATAGATACAATCTTCTTTTTACGAATCCGTTATTAATACAACGCGATAAAAATTTCACTAATATCGATTGAGGGGTCGCTCGTTTTTCTTTTTTCTTTTTTTTTTAGGTCAATTACAAGGATTTTCCTTTAACATAAATTCCATTTGAAACTCCATTAGAGCGAGAGAAACGTTCGACGTTGATTACATCGATATCCGTAACGGCGTAGGCCGTGTATTGGAAGCTTTTTATCCCGTTCTTTTCGTGAACACTCGGCGTGAATACCGGGTGGTTTGCTTCGACATAGCTCAAAGGGTTAAATATAGACCGCGACCTCTCCATATATGATATTTGCGCGATATTAAGGAATGAGAATATACTTATAAGACTTTGCGGTGAATTTACATGATATGGCGATGCTGTAAGAACGTAATAAAAAAAAAAACGTCGTCCGCACAACTGGCGCTCGATACGCAAAAAAGTTGCGAGTAATATCGAAAGAGTTCTTCGCGACAATCTTCCGTAATATGCTAAAGAGAAACGCACCGCTCGAGTGCTTTCAAGCGTCAACTTTCAGAAGTCCGGATAATATTCGGGGGGAAAAAATCACTCGCGAGAGATCTACGCACGAGTTCGATAGAAGGCCTCGTATACGGCAACGAACGGTTTGGAAAACCGATCGGAAAACCCCCGGGGAAAACTCGGCGTTTTCCCCGCGATGCATTATTCAAACGAACCATTCGGTGGATCGGAAGTCGGGCTTTGATTGGACAAGGAAGACACGCGGTCGTACGACGAAAGGTCGTGGTTATGCAAATGGCACATTCCAAGCCGAGTCCGGTTGTTATGGTAACCAATCCGCTGCACAGGCATCGGAATTCATTATTTAGCTCGGTAACGCCGGGGACCCGCTCGCGTACGTGAAACGCGGGCACAGGTGTCAGATTTTAATAATCCAGACGGATGTGTGGGCAACGCGAGAAGGGCTGTACACGCACGAGGCTGCTGCTGGCGTCGAAGATACTCACAGACGTCGCGTCGCCTGAAATCGCGGATAATTCGATCGCCTCGTAATTCGCGTCCCTCCACGAGGGGAATAAATCACGCTCTCTCTCTCCGGTGCTAACCGTGTATGCCGTGTGATAAAATCGATATTTACCTACCCCGACTCGACCGCCCCTAAATGATTTACGTGCGTACGCGGTAAGAATCGAATAGAAGAAACGGCGAATTTATTAAGGGAAGGGGACAGTCGCGAGAGATATAAGAAGGCAGTTTCGGGGGAAAAGATTTACGAAGGTGTCTCCCCCCCTCCTCCTAAACTTATTGCGTCTTCTATCTTTACCCCCTGGTAACATATGTAGCCGTAATCAAAATTCTGATTTGAATAAAATGCGAATAAACATGTGGATTCCACTCCCCCCTCCCCCCCCCCCTCGACTTGGTCAATGTTGCGGGTAAAAGTAAAAATTGTAAATTCAAGAGCACTCGTATTTAGAAACAACCGCTTGAGAAAACATACACGGCGCCAATGTAACTCTATCAGTTAGTATTCTCCGATAAATACGAGAATTCTATTCTTGCTCGGTGGAAACTTTCATATAGAAGATCTTGTCAGATGATGGGGAAACTTAATGATAATAGACGGCCATCTTAGTTATAATAATATACACGTGAATCTCAAACTTCGAAGTCCACTGGAAATCGGCCAGCGAATTGTATTTTATAATTACACTTTGGGAGTTTAATTCTTCCAAATCTTTTTATCCCCGAGCGCTTATAACTCTCTCTGAAACTTGGTTTTTCTAAGTTTGAACCTTTACCTCTTGCGATGCCGGAAAGTTGCGCGATAAATCCAGGATATTCTGTATTTATACAATTCTCGTTGTACAATTCTGTATTTCATATACAATTCTCGTTCCATAAAAGAATCAAAGTCCAGTTTGAAGTTAATAATCTCTCGACGAAATCTTTTTTAAGAGATCTAATTTGTGTCTATCAAAATAGGACAAAATCTTAATAAATTTATTGCTCAATAAAAATTTATTGCTTAATAAATTTATTTATATTTACAAAAAAAAAGTGCGCACTATTTTTAAACGAAAAGAAGCTGATTCATCAGGACTGCCGAGGGATCTACGGTAGCATCTCGCACGTTATATATAGATCAATCCAATTTAGGGTCTTGAAAACGCCATAACGTGTGGAATGTTCTCCTGAATTGAGCGCTACGCCGTGCGGAATGAAGTGCGAGAAGCAATCCGGCGGAAAGCAGTTTCTCGGGGAAGCCCGTCGAATCGAATCGCTCCGAAATAGCAGAGTAGAGTTCGCGCAACGTGCAACTTAAGTAGACTTGTGTGCACGTGCTCTTGTTAGATAGACAAGGAACAAGGGCGCGATTGTATCGTTAAATCGCTACTATTCATCATCCAGCACGTGATTTCGTGTTGTATCTAACGCGAACGCGATACGCGGATCTCCGCCGTCGAAAAGCATCGTTGTATCGCGTATACGTGACGTATATCGTCTCGAATGTTTTCAATTAAATCGTAGTTTAATTAAATTGCATCGATACAAAATCATTTTATTTTTTTCTATCTATACATTCGTCAATTTCTTTTTTCTTCTTTTTTTGCGTGAAATGTACATTTCGCTTGCGTAATTCTTTCCGCGGAGAGAGAGAGAGAGAGGCGGATATTTACGCTGTAAATGTCAATTTTTGAACTCATTTTTCGCGAGGAAAAATAGGTCACCGAAAATTATGTAAATAAAGCTCCTGCTCGAAACGATTTCACTGAACGAGAAAAACAGATTTAGGAATATACATATATAGACATCTACTCTGACATTAGTGAGAGATCTCGATGGGTATTCGAAATAAGAGGAGGCTTACAACCGCTAGGAGAGAGCCTGTCGGGCGAAAATGGCAAACTTTCGAGACGTTAAAGAAGGATCGCCGCCGCAACTGTAAAAGAGGGATTTGAATCGATAGGACGCGCGGCGAAGTTTCGACGTTGAAAGACGAAATACAGGGAGAGGCACTGGCGCACACGAACAATGGTACTTGCGCCGCGTTTCGCCATACACGAGCCGGTGCACACCGGCGACGCAGTCAGATAATTCTCACGTACACATTGTGCGCGGTTCCGAGTGGCGTATGCGTGTCCAGACAGTGGTACGGTGATGTACACGAACGAACGTCGGTGTGTGTTGAAAAGCGCACCCGACTCGTACTCGTTGTGCGCGAACGTCAAATTAAAACGACGTCACGGACGATGCTGCGCGACAAAACGTGACGAGAGATCGTACATAATGCCGCGAGTTTGGAATTGCTAATTAAGGAACTTGCGCATTATTACATTCTTCGTTCATTGCAAATCGAACGTTATTTCAAGTCAATTAAAAGAAATGTAAATGGAAATAAAATACAAATTTTGAACCTTAGTCTATTTTGACTGTAATCTGTGCGTGTGTAAAAGTAGTAAAAGTAACACGGCGTTCGTCCTTCAGTGCCTTTTTAATTTCTTTTTTAACGATTTTATCTTTTTTTTTTTTTCATAATACTTAAAGCAAATTAAATCAATAAAATAATACCATCAATAAAATCAGATCAATAAAAGGCCATATGTGCCAAAACTAACTATTTAATGTTTCAATAGAATATTCGTTAAACGATAAAATAAACAGATGTTTCGACCCTTATCGAATCATTTTCAATGTTTAAACAACAATAAATGAACTAAATCACATAAATTAAAATAAAACGTCTGAACGTAATTAAAATTTTAAAAGTATAAAATTTTAATTACTTAAAGCAAAATTATGTATTGACTCGTATTTATAATAGAAATAACATAAAAATTAGAAGGCATAAAAGCCAATAAAATAAGCGAACAAGAGACGTTTTAACATATTCATATAATTCAATTCGATTACATTAAAGCGGGACGGTTTCGACTTTACGAATTGTAAGTCCTCTTCAGCCGCAAATGCAAAATTCAATAATATGTTACATTACTTTCGGAAATCACTTTGGCAGTTTGGTTCAGTTATATTGATGGGTCAGAGCCAATCTGGAAATGTATGACAACTATACTTTAGTTGTCACAAAGACGGTGACCAAAAAAGATATCTTATTGTTAGTGATGGAATCTATATCTTCAGATTATCTCTGACCCATCGATATAATTGAACAATTAACAAAGATGAAAAAAAAAGTATGTAACGATGATTTCAGGCAACAATTTTAATTTAATTTACGGTAAGCGGTTTTAATTTAAATATTAGACACTATGAACAATTTACACTTGGTAAAAAAACGTCACGTGTTTTCCGATTAAAATTAATGTAATATAATAATGAATTTTGCATTTGCGACTGAAGTAGACTTTAATAGAATCGAAACATCCCGTTTTAATATTATCAAATTAAATTATATTACAACATCTCTTGTTCGCTTGTTTTTTTTTGGTCTCTATTCCTTCTAGTTTCTGTTTCGTAATACTTAGTTGAAAACATTTACAGAATCTGGGATCGTATGTTTCTGAGGCCTAAGGATCTGGAAAACGTGAGGGTAAGCAATCTAAAGTTAATGCCTAGCAACTTAACGTTTAGATAAATTCAGCCCCTCAGTAAAAAAACCAAGAGGTTTTAAATCAGACGTAATTTACGTAGTCTACAAAAGTTTATTAAAGAATCACTCGTTTTTTTTTTATTGCTACCGTTCTATTATTACTACTAATTGAGATCAAAGTTAAAAAAAAGTTTATCGGACGTCATGAATACGTAGGTGTGAAATTTTTAGCAAAAAGGTCGGATTTCTTATAAAGGCTTCTAAGATTTCTTACAGAATATCGATATCTCAATGCCACTAATGTCAAATAGTATAAAAATAGATGGACTTATAATATCTTTATGTCGAACACATGTTATTCATCGTAGTATAAATATTCATCTTAGCCATTTCTATTGTCGATTTATATCTTTTTTAAGCAACGTGATGTAATTACGTTACATGTTAATACAATAATAAATTTCAAACGAGAAAGTTAAACATTGTATCACATTACAAATCTGATTAAGTTATGATAAAAGATAGATTAAACTTTTTTTATTGGAGAATTATTACAATGTATCTAAATATTAGATATAATTATCTTTCTCATTTCTTTGACTTCAGAAATATGTACACTAGCGAAAAGAATTTTTTATGAAAACTGATGTGCATGTAAATGGAACATTAGTTATCGAAAACTATTTGAATTTTTATATAAAAGAACGATGAATAAATAAGATTTGTACGTGGGTCTGACATTTGTTATATTAAAAGATTTCTGAGATATATTAACAAGCCATATTACAGTAGTCTGTTTTATTATCACGGTAACTCATTATGTCAAAGCAAAAGCACTTTTATGTATAGCTTAATAATTCATGACTTTCATAAAAATTAGAAATATAATGTAATTTATATTAATTTTATTTCAACGACATACCATCAAACTTGGAAACTTAAACTTCTCTCTTTCCTCCTGCGTTTCAATATTACAATAAAACATTTGTTCTTACGAGCACACAGGATGCCACAGGGAAGCATTCAATGGCAGGGGACGCAGAGAAGAGCCTGCGGGCCTGGGGCTAATTGGAACGTGCAGGTACATTCTCATCGCTTACAAAAATTCAAAGTATTGATTATAGTGATTACATACCGTATCAGCGGAGCTGATTTTTCTCTTTATCAGTCTCGTTAGTTATAATTATTAGGGAGTAGATCGATCGGCAAGAACGTCAGCCGTAGGGGGAGAGGGAGAAAGAGAGAGAGAGAGAGAGAGAGAAACTCCAATAATGTGCATATGTAGAGCATGTACGTAGCTACAACATATATCCGTACTTTAATCATCTCTAGCACGTTTACAAATTTCGCCTGCAGAAATTATTTCCGATGCAGAAATCCGCCTCGGCGGGAAGTATATACGCAGATTTCATGCGAACAAAGGCAAACTATAATTGTTAGCTAACAATTATTGTATTATCGCTGCTGGGAAAGGAGATTACCTGTCGCTCTCTGCTAATGATATCTGCGCACGAATCTATAAATATTTAGAGCTGTATTCTCTCACAAAACGACACTACACTCGTAGAACGAATTTTTTTCTATACATTTTCTCTAATTAGTCTGTGACAAAATTAATTATATCCTAGCGCTATACTATCACTATGCAAATAATTTAGACAAATGCTAAACGTAAGAGATACGTCGCTCCCGCGGTTACCAGCACCGAGAAACGTTGCTATGCCGTTACACCGTAATGTAACATCGTATAAAATCGTTAACTGGTTGAATTTAACGTCCGCCGTGTTAAACGACGGACGTTCGTCCGCTGAGTAAACTGACTGGACCACCCACCGTCCAGGTTTATTAACTGTTAACGACGGCAATTAAATCGAACAGGTGGTGAGAGGCAAGGTGACAACGCGGTGCTTGTGGCACGCCTGCAAAGCTCTCGGAATTGGGCTGCTGCTAATGCTTTTAGGAGCTTGCATGGCGACCATAGGTGAGTAGAACTACGTAAATTAAACATCGGGGTCTAATGCCGACGAGCGACTATTCCGCCTTGGCCTCTAAGCCACTAACCGCTTAGAGTTTGGAGGCATTTGCGAAGAGCACTTTGGAAGGATCAATCTCAAGGGATCAATCCCTTGCAAATCGATTCTTTGTAGTTCATATCTCTTTGTAATTCCTCATATTTAAGTAAACTTCACAAAGAAAAATTTTATTTGATGGATCACTATTTGCGATAACGAGAAAATAACTGGAGCAACTTGTGTGTAAAAACATTCTTAATATAAAACAATTAAATTTTATCTTTATATGTGGAGTGCAAAGAGATATTCTTTTTTTTTAAGCTTGCAATCTGCTTATGCCTACGTGCATGAAACGAAAATTTAAATTTCAAATTTATATTATTTTTAAAAACAATTCCACTCTATATCAACACAAATAGTCACTTTCAAATATCTGACAGAATATGGAATAACTCACAATATCCAGATTTAACACAAGACTGTTACAGGATGTTTAGCTAATTTTTTTTTAATCTAAAAAAATATATCTCCATCGAATATTTATGTCACGTTGAAAAGAAGTAAGCGAAAATACGACATAACGGAACGAGGGACAAAGTTTGCTGGGGGAATATTTTCTCTCTTAATATATGCAGTATTATATAAGAGGCAATTCACTTCGATGTAAAACAACTCATGGTTAGCATTTCATAAATTAACATTATTAATTTAAATTTAACTTTTTATTTTTATTAATTTCAATTGTGTAATTTATATCTTTGTAACGCGTGTTAAGCGCAAAGTATCGTATTATAACGTTTAAATCTACATCTTTCTGCTATCTATTCTACTTTTCTCATTCCGTTATGTCCTATCGTTGCATACACGTGTGATAGAGAATATAAAACATTTCTCTTGTTTCGTCCAATAGGATATTACGCGGATCAGCTGTCGGTGGCGCAAGAGATCAGAGGTAATATCACGGTAAAGGTGAAGAACGAGTCACGCGGGTTTCACCTGAATAATCTGAGCTACGCCGGCCCGGTCGTTATGGGTCTAGGAGGTAATAGTAACATATATTGCAAAATTTACGAGCGTGATACACTTGTTCGGCCGAGCGAGTTACACGACACTGATCTCCTTGAAACGGTAACTGCGCGATAATAGATAGGTGCACTGGCGCAAAATGCACATAAACGTACCCCGTATGATGCATGTCTATATACATATATTTATAGATAATAGCACGTAATGTTACGTCATATTGAACGTATATATCAAGGAACATTACCTTAAAAAAGTAACATTACTGTTACCCTTATTTTTTGTAAAAAGTTCATAAATTCGTTACCATTACTCGTTGCTGATTTAAAAAAATAATGCGTTACCATTACTTGAAAAGTAACAATTTATTACCTTTTCGTTATTTTTTTGTAATACTTTTGTAATAATATAAAAAAGTTTAATTAGATTTTTAATTTATATTAATTATTTGATAATCATTATTAATGTAGAATGTTATATTACGAAATATAAAATACAAAATATTTTTTAAAAAGTAAATTAAAAATGTTATAAAATAAAAAAATAAAAGTATAAAAAAGTAACAATGAAAGTAACAGCAAATTCGTTATTACAAAAATGTAACGAGATTAGTGTTACCATTACAGATCGAGAAAAATAACGATTGTTATGAAAAAAAAGTAATGAAAACAGTAATGGCGCTATACGTAACGCGTTATTTTCCAAACCTGGATATTGATACATCCATTACATAATATGATGTAATAAAATTGTAAAAATTGAAGAACTTTTTGTAAACTAGTCTTTTTAAAAATTAAGGTGATTTTATCGAGCAAGTCCCAGTCAAAAGTTAGTCCCTCCATGTGATTAATAATTCAATAAAGACAAACGTAATTCAATAAAAATATTTCGCATAACTGTACATACGTATATGCGATTGTGTGACGTTTATGTGACAACGTCACACTATCTAGTTGGCGTTAAGCGATAAAACCACCTTAATATTTTCTTTAAATTAAAATTTACACACACAAATTTAATAATTTTCTCTTTACATATATATGTGTGTGTGTGTGTGTACATATAGATATAAAATCAATATTTAACACATATACGATACCACGTCGAAGATATTATTAATTTCATAAATGCACCTTCCGTGTTTTGATTCACATTGACATATACGACCAAAGACAGAGTTATGAGATAGACTCTAAAAGAAAAAAAATTGCAAAAACGCACAAACGTGTGGTTTTGCACGAACAAATGCGGAGATCGAAAATAGCTACAAAATAAAAGCATCGAATAATGTAACGGATGTAGGGCAGAAAATTGCAGGCGAAACGCGAAAAATGCGCAATATAGTGCAGCACCGCACGAACGAGTCCACTCGATAGAAACTACAAAAAAAAATCATTGCCCCCAGAGAGATTTGAACTCTCGACCCCTGGTTTACAAGACCAGTGCTCTAACCCCTGAGCTATGGAGGCTCACGCTCGGTTATCGGCGAGCAGTCTCAGTATACAAGCTCCACGTAGATTTTATCTTATCTACTTGCCTTTAATCACGTTTGTATCGAACGGGAACATATTTTAGAATGTTCTAAATCGTGTTTTCCACTAATTCGCATACAATATCAAGTTTTAACAATCTTAAGAAAAAAAGGAAGATAAAATATAATTTCGCAATGATTAAATTAAATAATCAGATATATACGAAAATTACGCGTCGTAGTTAAAATACAACCGCCATTGCAACGAAATAAAACCTCGTATAATATTACATTATACCTTGAATTATTAAATAAATTGTTCAATTATGCTAAGTGTACTTTGCCCAAGATTGCGTTAACATTAACGTACATTCCATTATTAACGACTGCGAAATCGCAGCAAAGTTCAATAATGATATGTAAATATACGTAGTGTAAAATTTAACATTATGTCGCAATACAAAATAACGATACTTTCCAGGCTTTATTGTGGTAGCTGCCTGCGTGATGACTTTCGAAGCGCGTGACAGCGCGGCCAAGGTGGTGCCGGCTCGCTACCGCTTCAACCAGACGTCAACGATAAGGAGTTCGAAGAGCCAGCGCAACAGAAGATCGACATCGAGTCAGACGACAAAGTGGGACCACCAGCTGGGCCTGTTCAGGGTGAACCGCAGCCCGAGCCCCAGTACGCACGAGGTCTCCAGGAAACAGCTGACGGCGGAGTTCATGCAGTTCTCAAAGGATCTGCAGGAGAAAGGCGTGGCGCACTCCATAAAGAAGAGCCCGAGCGCACCAACGTTGATCGACAAGAAGTCGCCGCGTCGGAGATCGCCTAAATACGCGGGCTGCTCGCTACTTAATCCAGAGCTGCTGCAGAGACACGCTCTTTCGGTCGACAATCCGAGCTACAGTCCGCATCAGGTAATTAAAAAAGAAAGAAAGAAAAACGTCTTGTAGAAGAAACAGAATCTTTCGCAACTAACTTAATTAATTAATTTAATATTAGCTGTGTCATTTCTTTTAATTAAACGAAAGGAGATAAATACTATATATTTTGTATGATGTAAATTTTAATGATGACAAATTCTAACGGTCTCTTCTGTCTCAATGATTATATAACTGAAAACCAATAGTAAGACTTTTTTTTCGATAATTAATAGGTCAGCAGAGAAAGTCTGGAGCATCAAAAGAGCGGTAGTCAAGCCTCAATGGCGATGGATCTGCATATTCCGAACAAAGGTCCCGTTACGCTCAAAGTGAAGGACCGATCCGACACAGCCAGACGACATCAGCTGCTTCGTCAAACAAAAGTGGAAGACGTCGAGGAAGTCGATGAGGCTACGCGACCACCGCCGACTCTCGTGCACTCGCCTAAATTGCCAGGTGGCTATGAATAAATGATTTAAAACATGTGATCACTCAAATATGTAAGATCATCACTGTGAGCGTCACTAACAGATACATAAGATATATTAAAAATGTTCAAATGAAAAAAAAATAGCTATATCATTTAGTTAAAAAAAAAAAAAAAACTACGAAACTACGAAAATTAAATTCATTCTGTCTGCACGAAATGCCTGCTGTAATGCATGGTAAACTTTATTCGAGCAACCGGAGTCCGGATCTTATCACTTTTGTGGACCAAGAAGATGATTGCCTTCCGTTTATGCCAGACAAGGAGGTTGCCCGGATAAGCGTTAAAAAAATGTCTACATGTCTAAATACCAATAATCATGAACATCTCGATCAGGTGCCTATTGCAGATATCCAGACGACTTCGTGCCAAGAAAAAGAAATTCGATAGATCTGAGATTGTTGGAAGAGTTGACGGTGGTGTCGAAAGAATTTAGTAAGGCCTCGCCACGTGACTTCCGCAAAATCTCCTCGCCAAACTTCCGTAAAATGTCGTTCGACAGAATCGGCGGTGATCGTCGCTTCGACAGAACGATGGGACATCGAAAAGCTAGCCTCGAGTTCCGAAGAAGTCCGGACTTTCGAAGAGGAGACTACAGGTAGCGAAGAATTTCAGATCAAATTTTACAATTTACTTTTTTTATATTTTACTTTATCTATTTTATTGGTATTTATTTCACGGTTATTTTTGGTCTTTCTATCGTTAACGTGTTATTCGCGGAATAGCTACCTACATTCTACAATCGTGAATTTTAATTTATTGCAATCTTAAACTAATGGTAGTAACAAAATCAAACTTTATTTTAGATAAAAAATAAATTTATAAATTTAAATTAAAAGATAAATAAATTATCTATAAATATTTTTTTTAAGATTATACAAGGTCGCAATTTAATGCGAAGCTTTATTTATTTAATTTGTAAGACTGTATGTTAGAAGACGTCTATATTACAATATTTAATCACTCTAACGCATTTTTATTTGTCAAAAGACAACCGATCAAAATTTTCCTTCTAACTGAATTTACAGGAAACTCTCGGTAGACAGATTCAGCGTCGATTGTACCCGATACATGTTCGACGAGGCAGAGATGAAGCCACGAGCGAGCAGCGGGGAGAGCCTGCGAAGGCAATCGCGTCATCATCCTAAGCTACATCATTCCAGATCGGACGACAACAGGCGGCGATCCTTCGACAGGCACACGAAGGATCCGCAGTCGAGTCGACACTCCCTGAACACTCAGGTCGTCATGGAGAGCTCCGTGTGCGATTGCGAGCCGAAATACTTCACGACGGTGTCCCTTGACACTGAGGAGAGCCGCGGCGACAATTCCGACGAGAGCCACGTGGTGGACATCGAGGAGACGAACCTCAGCGCTCGGTCGTCCGAGGGGCACGCGGAGGGTGACATGCTGCTCGAGGAGCCGGAATTGGAGAACCTCACGGAGATCGACGTGGAGAGCTCCGGGGACGATCTCGACGACGAAGGGAAGACCGAGTCGCGCAGATCGGCAAGCGAGAGGACTACCGACACGACGATAGAAAATCCCATGATTATCGCCGACGACAAGGACCCGCAGACGACAGTCGAGGAAGCGCACAATTCGGAGCAGACCGAGAAACACGAGACGACTCTGTACATAGAAGATGACGAAGTGTGAAGAATGAAGGAGGATTTTCGAGAATTTAACGACGTACCTCAGGCCATCCTGGGGGATGAAATAACGACGACGTTTGCGAAGCATGGAAAATCCATGGTGTTCAACATTGCTGGCAATGTTTCTTCGCAAATGTGAGAGGACCACGCAAGGATTCAGTGATGACTGTCTATCGATCGCGAAATCGTCTTCGAACGCGACGTTACGTCGTGAAACATGCTCAACGACTTAACACACACACACACATACACACACGGCATAAATAAATAAATAAAAAAAATAAAGAAACCGAGATCACGTACGAATTGCGTTTTGTAACGAGACAATCATTTTTTATCGGCATCTCGCTCTGCCCTTCGCGCAAGGGTAACGTGGGTGTACAACATTCGCCACACTGATGACAAATAATTGTTATCCAACAAATTTTGACGTAGCGCGTAGACGGTAATAGACCTAACGTAATAAAGTATAAGATTCGTTGAAACGCAAACGTGATTAAACCATACCAAAGAGAAGTTTTTTGTACTTACGGGAAAATATAACGTTCGCCTGTAAATACGTTTGTCGGATCAACCCGTTCGAGCGTTTGTGTCTCTCTGACGACAAAGTCAGAGGCATATATGTTGCGCCATTCAAAGTGAATCTTGTCTGGTAGAAAACGTTATTAGAATACAAAGTGTCTCAGCGCGTTTATTCTCAGCTCTTAATAAAAAAAAAATAATAATTGCGTTCATTTGACGAAAAAATTATTTCTCAATGATAATTCAATTTTGTTGTTGGATTGCCGAAAAAATTTCAAGTGCACTTCATTTTAAGATACATAGAATTTCAATTTATTTCAAATCTACCAAAGAGCATTCACGCAGCTGGAGTATAAAGGACGCAGTAAAATATGCGGTGAACCCTATACATGTACATGAATATTTACGAAGATTGGCGATGTTTTGGCGAGGAAAGGAAATCTGTGAGGAATATATTAGCCCCGTAACTGTGTTTATATATACGCATACGTTACTCTTTACACAAGATTCATGCATTTATATGGCACAATTTTCTCATACGAAAAGCAGAACGTTGTAATCTCCTCGACATGAATAGATTTGAGAACCGATGTAAGAGAGACATTTTAAAAAGGATACGAGCCAAAGTAAGTTACACTAGATAACAAAATGCAGTGAAAATTTTTTTATATTACGAATGCATTATTCCCTTCTTTTACTCATTTATTCTACATTTTTAGTTTCCTCGCGTGTATTTCTACGCTTTATATTTCCATTATATGTACATTATTCATTCCCTCGTGCTTTAAAAATATTGATTCGTATCCTTTTTAAATATTCAATGGATTTGATGTAGTTTTCTTAGCAATAAGAGAGATCCAATAACTTTCACATGAGATCCATAAAATATTCGAAGAAAATTTTGATTAATATTAATTCATCCGTTACAATGAATTTAATATTAACTGTCCAACATTGTGTATATTTTCCAGAGTTGTCACATACGATTAATTACATACTTTGACTGAAAACTACATTTGTTGTTTATAAAGTAAAGGAAGATAAAAAATTAATTAATCTTGAAAATCATATAAAATATTTTTGGATTTCAAAAGCAATTCTTGCTTATTCATATTGCATATAAAATTCTTTTCAGATATTTTTTGTAATATAAAAATATTGAATGAAAAAAATTCTAACGCAAGTTGTTTTTACAAAATTGAATCTTTGCAGAATTCTATTTTGTATTTTCCATTTTACGTTTCAGAACATGCTATTTGTAAAGAAACAATATACGTAAGTAGCGTTTCTCTCTCTTGCTTTCCTTCCTCCCTCCCCCCCTCTCTCTCTCTCTCTCTCTCTCTCTCTCTCTCTCTCTCTCTCTCTCTCATCTATACATACGTACATCTAATGTATTATTCAAGATTAAAAATAGTAACGAATGGATTAATATGGGTCTCATCTCTGGTGTTAGTACTGTCGAAAGTATCTTTAAGACTCTTCTTGAAATCAACCACGAAACATAAATGAGAACTGAATACTTATATAAATCTCAGGTCTCTTCCAGTCTGTTGTTAACGCGGCGTTCGCCGTTCGTACACACGCGAAACTGCGGCCTATTCCGTACTTCTTCGTTGAACATTTAGGCGATGACAAATCATAGAGGAGAATTCGAAATCATATAGAAGCACGTCGAGCTCAAATCTGTCGATACAACCTGGAATTGTCCAATGAAAAGAGAAATCACGAAATTTCTAACGAAACACTGCAGTCTAACGGTGTCAAGTGACAGTCGTTCTTAACCGAGTGAACGGCCCAACCGCGCGTGTAATATATTTTTATATCCCGCAGCGAGTTCGCACAATGTTAATTGTATACGTATATTAACGTTTAATCAGTCGAGAAAAGTGAGATTCGTTTTTATTTCAGCAAGCGCCCAGCGATCGATTGTTGACGAACTTTTTCCACTTTCCACTTTTCATTGTATCAGCTCACATCGATCTCATTCGGTATAAAGTATCGCCGTTTCACGTCAAACAGTTACACGACCGCGCAACTCGACAAATTCGTGTTGAAATTTTCACCTTTCCACCCCTAATAGTCGCGTCGCGAATAGATATATGAGAAAAATGTATCTGCATTTGGACTGTTTTATGATAAACAGTTACCTTCGTACTCGAAATCTACAGAATGATCTCTCGAGAGATTTAATCGATTTACCTTTGTCAAAGAAACTGCCCAATTTTTATTTAATCAGATTTCTCTGAAAAAAATGAATACTTCTTAGAAATTGTTTGGAAGAAACTTTATCTCATTTGTTATGTAGGTGGGTATGATAAGCTCGCGGAGCGAGTTTGTGTACACTTACTTCAAATTTTTCGGGATTTTAAAAAAAGTTTAACAAAAAATAAATACAATAGTAATGTGATGCAAGCGCAATGCTGGAGTGTCTGTTTAATTAAAATCGTTGAATAACAGAAAGACTAACTCGCGCAATTTCGAACAAAATCGGAGTATGATGTCCTGATCAACACAAACGAATAAAAAATCGATGCAGAAAAAATTTCAAAATAAAAAAATGCTAAAAATTTGAAAGATTGCTCTCGCGAGCGCTTTCGATTGTATGTAATGGATTGTTAGCTACGCAACTGACATCAAAGAATTGAAAAATTAATAATGGACTTATTTGTTGCAATGTGTTTTAACATTTAAAACTAAATCTTTTATATATTTTATAGTAAATCTTAATCTTTTATATATTTTATAGTAATCTTTTATAATCTTTTATAAGTTAAATTCGAAATCAAAATTTTGAAAAAATAAAATTTATCTGAATTTAAGTGAACGATAAACTTAATTCAAACTTAATAAGAAAAACGTTCAAGGCTAGTTATAAAGTTGAAAATGAAGTCTCGATATCTAAATCATAAAAATGCAACTTTAAATTAAGTTAAAAAATATATATTTATATTTATTATTTATTATTGAAATTGATATCGGAGATTGCAAGATATTAAAGATTGGATGCGATCGATAGTTAAATGTTATCGATGAGAACACGATTGATCTTTGTACAGGATCTCACTCAATTGTTTTCAGACGTAGAAAATAGTATCGAGAACAGGTAGAATTATAAGAAAAATACAATCATATGCAATATATTGTTGATATGTAAATTACGATTCAATATCGGTAGACATCATAACAATAGCGCGCCTCTTAAAGTCGTCTGGTATTTTTCTACCAGGAAATGTGTAAATTTAGTGTATCAGGTGATGCAGTATGAAACCAAAGGTACGTCGATGTCTTTCATAATTTTCTAACTCCCCTCGTTGAAAAACGGCTTACACGTTTGCAAAACGTGCGTGTGCGGTTTTACAAGTAGTAGAATTAAGTTGTATCTACCAGTTACTACTCTGTAGCGGACACGCGTATGTATGTATGAACATGTACATATAACTCATGTTTAACGGAGTAAACATATAAATCGAACTGTGATCGAGGTGATAACGCAATAAGAAACAGATACTTAAACGATGTTTCTTGCAAACGTGCTGTTTTCGATCCGCGACATGCTATGTCTTGAATCGAGCAAGTAAACAGGCACGAATGATTGAAAGAATTATCAAAATTATTAAAACACGATGAAAGAGAGATATATTCTTTCAAAGGTAATACGTTATACTTTTATCCGCACGCAATGGACAAAAGTTAAAGTAAGAATAACAAATTATGAATCTCATAGCCAGATATACATTTTCAATAATGTATTAATGTATTAATTGCATTATATAAACCTATACGTAATTTATAAAAAAAAAAAGATAATTATTCTCAATATTTTGATAAAGATTTTCGTACGAGAGCGAAAGATCAGTTTACTTCTCAGCTCTCACCGTTGATAATTCGAATTATTTCATGTCGAATCATTTCATGTTAAATCAATATGCGCCTTGATGGAAAAAAATCTAGACTGTTCGAACAATTTCTCGCGACAATCAAATGTTAAAAGTTTTAATTCTTCCGAGAATTTCAACGATATCATTCGCGCGCAACACAGCGAGGTATCTTAATTACAGTGTTCAAAGGTTTCTGAAATTCTTCAAAGTACCACCGGTTCTAGTTCTGGTATAATTAACGCTGAGACGCGGATATAAGCATCGGTGTAAAATTTTTAAGTCAATGTAACCCTTGCATGCTAATTGTTGTAACATATCAATAAAAAAGACATTCCAAAATTAATCATATAGCTGTGTGTTTTTCAAACATTTTATACATAATTGTATATGTATAATTTTTTCATAATAATTTGTCATATTTCAATTATGCGTTATTACATAGATTCATATTACACTTTATCGAAAATACTGAATAATTAAAAACAATAAAATCGCTCCGATATCGATTGATTTTAGAAGAGAAAATTTCTAACATTTCTATTTCTAATAATTTCTAACGAACAACTAGCGCTATCTGTAGAGAATTACTTTCTTTACAGCGAAACTTTAATCGGTAAAGACCTTTCCTATGGTCAATTAGAAAGCATCGTTACTGAATAATCGCGTATTGTATACAAGATTCAAACAAGTTGCATATAGCACACTGAATATGAAAAATCAAGTAACCTGCAGATTATACGTAAAAAAAACAAACTTTGTGACAAATTATTATGGAAAAAATAATGGTAACAATTATATGATTTACGTGAATCTTGGGATCCAGGCTTAGGTGTCAAAACGATTTGACAAAATTGTCATCAGCACTCCAATACAAAAGTTTACGAGAAGATGAAAGATATTACACTCACCGGCACGCAGCAGCGGAATTGTAATAAATCTGTAATAAGCAAACATTTCAAAATTAAAACAATGCCTAAAACAATTCAGTATTTTAAGATATATAATTATAGAAATTTTTATTTGTTTTTTAAATAAATCATTAATTTAAAAATTTTAATAAATACATAATCGTGATTACATTTAATTGCTCTTACAAATTTCAATCAACTCAAAATCAATCAATCTGAAAATCAATTGTATATAATTAAGATGCTACAATCGCATTTAATAAAACTTTCATGCGTTATTATGTATCGATGCAATATATCATAAATAATCGTATTACGATCGCATGAAGTCTGTTTGATGCAACTGTCGCACATTCATATTTTATCAAGCAATATATTATCTCCTAAGAGGAATTTTTTTATTAGATAGACAAACACAAACACCTTGGGGTATTGCAGAGTCGAATGAAATCGCATCTGTAAATCTTAATTAAAGCGACAAAATATCTCACTTAAGTGAATGACAATTGAATTAGTAGTGATCTGCAGAAGACACGGTCGTGGCTCAGCGCTAAATTATATATAAGAAGACGCGCCGGACCGGACCGCGGTCTCTTTAGACATCCCGAGCCGGGGAGTCGCGAGCACCCGAGATTATCGGATCTCAACAATTGCACTTACCCTATACATTGCTCCGCGTCGCCCGATGCCTGCCAAGGCTTCCCCTCCTCCTCTCTCGTCCAGTCGCCGCCGTTGCTGCTTCTGATCTCACAGCTACTCACTAATTTGCGACACTCGCGACATTATCACACATCGCCCGGACACTCCCGACGTCAATCTTATATACTCTCGCGAAACACACCGTTGATCGCGCGACTCGCTATATACGTTCGGTACAATCCCGATCGCACGGCACGACGACGCGACTTTATGACGGCTCCGGCGCGGCGGCGGCGGAACAAACGCAGAGAAAACACGGTGCATGCGAGCCACGAATCTGCACGTAACTTGACTCTCGCGCACGGCGTCTCGCAACGGAAGGATCTGAAATGAGATTCGCGGAGCGTCGCGGCCAATTTCACGCGACGTCGCGACACGACGCGCCGCGACTGCATCGTCCGGCCGGTCCGGCCCGCCGATTGACGCACTTTCGCGCATTTTCGCGTGATGATCAACGACACCCGCGATGCACGCGATTGCGTGCTCGCCTCCCGTTCGCGACTACTTATATATTACATTGTCCAGCGTAAACGAGCGAACGCGCGAAACGAAAGGCATGAATATCCGCGGGACGCGATGCGTCCCAAAATACGTGCGACCGGCATCGCGTCGCAATTCGCCATATTGCGCTCGCACCCGCGATCGAACGATCAATCTCGCGAGATCTCGGGAGATCTCGACAATCAATCGCCGCCGCATCGAATCCTGTGCTAAACGCCGCGATTAGCCAAATGTCCCCGACGCGGACTCGACGCACGATTTGTAACAGCTGCTAATTAAACCTCGCCGTGATACTTTACCCCGTCGATTCGAAGAACCGATCCGCTGCGGCGTCGCGCGACGCATGCGATATAGCACGACGGGAGATTCGCGAAGCGGCGCGGCAACTTCGTCCCGATACAACGTGAGTCAAGCTACCGACAGTACCGACGGTACTATCGGTAAACGTTTCCATTTCCGTCCACTTTTGACGCCTTCTCGCGCGAGAAAGAAAAACGCGCAAAGTTTTTTTGACTCTCGAGACGCCGGAGTGCATAAAAATTATTATCCCACGTATTATATATTATATCGTACCCGCACAACCTTTGAGCGCAGAGGAAACTCAATTTAATCCAGGTTTAACTTAACTTTGTATCTTTTTCTACTTTTAAAAATTAAAACAGGATAAAAAGTATAAATAAAACCATAATTAATCTAACGTTGGTAGAAATTATCATTTTATCCAAACGCCAGATTATATAACGCGACGCGACTGCGCGTTAAGCTACGCGAGCGCGCCCGCGCGATTTGAATCCAAAGCCGCGCGCGGTGCGCCGCGTATCGTTCGTTGACTCTCGCCAGAGAGGGTCTCGCGCGTTTTGCGAGGCGCCGACTCCAGATGGCGGACGTGGGCGCCCCGCGAGCGCAGGTGGCGGCAAGCGGCAAATTGTGCGGAGCGGAGCGCAAGCGAGCGAGCGAGCGAGCGAGAGGTGAGGTTATCGAGTCGGCGGAGCGAAGCGTGACAGCCGGAGGACGGGGAACGAGCGGAGCCGCCACTGAGGAGGGGGGAGGGGGGTGAAGGGGATGGTTACATTGCGCGCCGGGGGCCCCCCAGGTGTGTAACTTCGTCGCTCGCTCGAGCAGTGCACCGCCGAACGCAGTACTTTCGACACGGGCGTCCCGCGTCTCGACGCCGCAACACCGCGTCGCGCTCCGTCGTTTTCCTTCGTCGCGTTCCGTTTCCTCCTCCTCCTCCTCGTCGAATCCTCGATCGGAGCCCTCCTCGTCTCGAGCGTCCCCCAGGAGTTCCAGGATTCGCGAGCGATGCTGTCCGGATTGTAGCCGGGTGCGCGTAACACACAGCGAGGGACGCGCGCGCGCGCGCGCGCGAAATGTCGTCGGAGCGATTTCATAAGTGAGTGCACACTTTTGTTTTCTTTTTTTTTTCTTCCTCGTCGTCGAGGAGGACGTCGCGGTTTTCTCCTTGTCGCTCTCTCTTTCTTCCGACTCTTCCCAGGTGTCTTCCTCGGTGTGCTCTTGTTTTCGTTGTACGCGCCCGCCCGCGTAGGATATAACTTGTCCCCCGGAAAGCGGAGAAATGTCGTGTGGCGAGGTACTTGTGCAGCCTTGGGACACGGCAAAGGAAAAAACATCATCGCCGCAGTCTCGAGTGGCGCGGCACACGGCCGATCGCGCGAGGCGACTCGATACGTACGGGGAGAATGGCTAAATATACGCATATCACGCGAATAATATGTTGATACAAGTTTTACACGGATGGAATGCGATTTCGTGCGCGTGTTGAACACGTCGCTCTTTCTTAGACTCATTTTCTATCGATGTAGCTTGATTGACTGTAATCTCGGTTCGATTTACCCTTTATCTTGTTCCAATTCTTGGAAATTTGAAAACGATAGTTGAGGTAAATTAAACCGAGATTATATATAAAATTAATCTATGTTACAGATAGAAATGGACATTTAGTACTCTGTTTTATATTAAAAATACAAATAGGGTAGTATAACATTCAAGTTAACTGATTATCGTTCATTTCGACCAATGCTTGATTAACTTTAATCTCGATTTAACTTAGTTTTTATCCTCTTCTAAAAATTGGAAAAAGATAAGTTGAACTGAGACTGAAGTTAATCTATAATGGGTAGAAATGGGCTTATATGAAAGTTCAGTACCTCTTTTATTATAAAAAAGTTCCATTGTTCTGTTATAACGTACTATGAATTAAAATTTCGTTCCAGCGTATAGAATGCCGTAAGACTTTTTTATGACTGTATATACACAATTCGAATCATAAATTAAACGATTCGCACACAGGATTATAATGATAATCAGTCTCGTCGAGGAAATCGGACCGACGTTTATCGAGCAACTGGAACGAAGTGAGGAGACGTGAACCGAATCGAATCTCTCGTATTTATAATCACGGCGTGCAATGAGCTGTTGGAATAAATGGAGGCACGTTAAGCACGATAATTAATATATTATATGTTCTAACAACGTTCATTAGTATCGCAGGTGAGAGAGAGCCGCAGAAGTGATCCCCAGTAAAATACGCACGCGGTTTATTAAATAAAGAGATTTAAAAGATTTCGAATAATTACAAGCGCAGAATAACCGTGATTACGGACTGTTTCATGCGGGGACTGTATCGTGTATATACATCGGCAGAGCGCGTGCGGAATTCATGCATGAGAGGAGGCCTGTGCTCTTATTTCATTCACCACACGGGAATTTATCGCGCAGATCATCTGTAAAAATTTCCAACGGATACCTAATCAACTTTCGTTAGCAATGGAGACTGCTGTACATTCTATGCAATTGATATGTTAATTTTCAAATGAAAATGTTCGAATTCCATATGTTTATATTTTCTGTAAAATTTTGAGTGTTTTCTTAGCAAAATTTTCAATTCACAGAGTCGGCTCTTCTCAAAATGTTTGAATATGTTTTTTAAAAATAATCATAAAAATACTTTATAAAATCATTAAAAATAACGCGTTAATAACTAATTTGGAGAAAAGTATCTAAGTTTGAATTCTCGGTTTACTTTTTCTAAAAGAGATTTTTTTTTATTATTGCTTCTGGAATCATTTTTTGTTATTATAAAAAAATGAAAAAGAAATTAATTTCGTAATTAGATCTGAAAATGATAGAGATTAATGAGAATAAATAGCAAAAGTTGTAAATTGCATTTACAAGTGTCTCTGAAAATGAGAAAGTACATTTAATTTTGAGTATAATCTACGATGTAAAGTTACGAAATCTAAAAAAGAATGATAACACATTTATTAATTTAATATAGCTTGTGTATTAATCTTATACATTTATTAATTTAATATAGCTTGTGTATTAATCTTATACTGTAATCTTATACTGTTTAGAATTAATCGTGACAGAAGATCATTAATATTATTAACTGGATGACATTGATGAAGTAACGAGAAAGGATATGCGCTGAAATCAGTTCGTGGAATGCAGCATCGGCGAATCGAAAGTGGCCGCTGTCTCGCCTGGCAAATCGCGCGCGTACACACACACACACACACACACACGTTTTCCCTTAACATCCCAATTTCCCTAATTAGAAGGAAGGAAAAACGCGAATCTCTCGCGTCGCGCTGCTGCGAGCACTTCAGCAGTTTAATTAAAATATCGCGAGCAAGCCGCCACGGATTATCAGATGTTGAGACGCGTGGATATATGCGTCTACTTTGCGAAGCTTTCTGCCCGTGCTGAGATTCGCAATTTTTCTTCGAGGAACGTGACGATAATTAAAAAAACAACCCGGTTAAAACCAGATAAGACATCACGCGATGCGTCGCACGATAAAGTAACACAAGTACGGTTTTCGCCGTGCCGTATTCCAAAGAAGTAAAAATATTTTTCTTACAGGAAGAGAAAGAGAAAAAAGAGAGTGAAAGAGAGCATAAAATACTGCGCATATATAATACATTTTTTGTATCAATTAAAATTTAATTGATTCATGGTATTTTGGGAATAGATGCTATATCTATATCTTTATATATTTTCCACATCTTTCTTTATATACATTATTATTAATAGCAGTTGATAAACGAAATATTTATATATTTTCTACATATTTCTTTATATACATTACTAATATTAATAGCAATTGATAAATGAAATACTTTCTTATTAGTGCGCAAATATCATAATTCTACTTGCTAATTTCTTGCAAATATTAATATTTGTATTATCAATATCTTTTAATATTCCATTCCAACGCTCGAAACGAAGAAACGAGTCTAAGAACGTTTGATAACGTACAAAGAGTAATATAATATAACAGACTTCTCTTTATCGAAGGGCCGCGCAAGAAGGCACGTTGGATGTTCTGAAGGAAGCCACGAGAAAGGATTGTAACGCGCGAGATGAAGGAGGAATGACCCCGACATTATGGGCAGCCTTCGAAGGCCACGTAGATGCTCTGAGACTGCTGGTCGCCAGAGGGTACGTGCATGCCTAATCTTATTTTTCCTCTTTACAGTGACCCAAGCGTTAAACCAGCGTGTCGCATTTTACAGTGGCATGCGACGGCTGGTGCACGCGACAAGACACTTCTAATATTCTTGCCTGTATCGCGTGCATCGCATTTGCATCATCGCATTTGATCATTACAATAACTTATTGCAGACCGACTTTACACGATTAATATCGCGCTGTGGAAACAAGTGGAAATTAATAATAAATCGCACGTGTACGTGGTTGCTATACGCCGTGTTATAGAAACGAGCTACAGAAACGAAACACATTCGACGAAACTTCGTGTTTTATCCACTCACACGAAACATTGGTGCCCATCAGGCACGAGGTCGTCGTGCCCCGTGAGCACGATAGCCCCACTTCGTAATTAATATACATGCCTCTCGACTGCAAGCTAACTCCGACCAAAATACTGCGAAGTTCCTCGACGCTTCCGGCCGTTTATCGCGATATGTCTGCAGATTTTTTTGGACGAATGTTAAAAATAATCGCATTGATCTCTCTATAGTACGTTCAACAAATCGACGGGACGTCGATCCGAATTGGTCCGCTCCTGAAGGTCCCGCCGTCGGACCCTTAGTTCTGCTATTGTATATCGTAATAATACGTGCACGGAACCGGAAGCACGCATTACAGGTGTCCATCGGAACTGCACAGTTGCGGAAACCGCGGTCGAGTGAATGAAAAACAATGGGACGTACACTTTATAAAAGGCAGGCCGAAGCGAACTTTGGCGTATCCGAAAATCCACAAATATCCACATCCATTTTACGACACAAATATTTAGTTTACTCGAGTACTTCAAGTTGTCTAATTCTATTTCTCAAATAAGTTTCAATAGAAACGATCAATAAATTCTTCCGAGGAATTTTTCTGTAACTGATTAATGTAATTAATGTAAAAAAAAATAAATTATATGTCATACGAGTTCCTAAGAATTATATAATTTTCGATCAAAGTTGAGAAAACGACTGTTATCAGAAATATATATCTGTATATTTTACATTTAAATATCTATTTGTCTTCAAAGCGCAAGAGTTTATCAAGTATTATAAAATAAACGTCTGTTCCTTTCTCCCGAAAAAGAAAAAAAAACAAATAAAATCGTGAAAAATATTTCATTGTTGTACGTAAAAATTTTGAAAGAATTTTGTATATATTCTTATATATGAGATTTTTATTTATTACAAAATCGAAGTTTTTTCTCTTGAAATCTGAAAAATCTGTTTCCACATTTATCTCGGCGTAACATGATCGTTTCATTGTATAGAGGCGATCCGGACAAGACCGATTATTTCGGTAATACTTGCTTGCACCTGGCAGCGGCGAGGGGCCACGAATTCTGCGTGAAATTCTTGGTGAAATTCGGTTGCAATATCTGGTCGCTGGACATCGACCGGCACTCCGCCCGTGAACTTGCGGCGATAAACGGCTGCGAGAAGATCCTGCAGTTCCTGGACATCGCCCAGGCCGATCAGGAATTGAATAATCGCAAGAAAAGCCGGATGCTCCGGGAAAAGGCCGAGAGAGATGCGGAGAAGAGGTACAGTTGTGGAATGCGAATTGTTTTTGCACCTCCATGAAGGAAAGAGAGAAAATAATGCTGCCATTTGCGAATCGTTAGACTAAACGTGTTTTTATTATGATGAGAGCACAGATAATTTCTTTCGCAGTTAGTTTCAATTTTTTTGCTCACTTGGCATTAGCATATTGTACATTGCGCTATACTGATTTATGTTTTCCCATCCGGTTTCTTTTAAATGCCTATTTTGCATTTTAATTATAAATGAAAATTTTTGAACTAATTATACAAATATTTTTCTGTCAAGACTGAAAGAGTATATGAAGAAACAGAAAATAGCTGAAATTAGGGCGGAAAAGGAACAGAAGAAACTCATAAAGGATCGTGCTAAGTCGGACTTCGACGCAATGAACGAGTTAAACTCTCAACGGCCCGGAGTACTGACCTTTAGAGGCCGAATGAAACCTTCGCCGACATTCAGCGACATCGTTGGTACCACTACGAAGAGGCACGGCAGCACAGTTTGTCGGAAAGCTTTAGCTAAGAAAGCCGTCAACGACTTCAAAGTTGTAGAGGTAAAAAAAATATATAAATATATATAAATAAAAATTATATATAAATATATATAAATAAAAATTATATAATTTTTCATGATTCAAAACGAAAGTGTCAAAATATAATCTAAAAATTAAAAAATTTTTAAATTTTTGATATCATTTGATATAAAAAATTGATTTATATAAAAAAAACAAATAAAAAATTTTAGAGTCGTAACTTAAATCATTTAATGCTTAATAAATCACATAATATCGCATATATTATTATTATTATTATTATTATTATTATTATTATTATTATTATTAGGTCGAAGTGAATGGGAAGAAGTCAGTTCGAAGTCTCACTGGCGTTCGTCGGGATTCTGAAGTTATGTACGTAGGCACGTACGACACTCAGCCACAACACATAGGCATTAGAAGAGGAAAGATCTCTGATGTATGGGGCACTCTCAGTAAATCGCAGAGCACGCCCGATCTCTTAGGTGAAAGGATATACGATGAGGAGGAGGAGGACAGGGAGGAAGAGAACTTGAACGTTGTGAAGGACACCGCTTTTCTTCAGGAACCAGCCAGCATCTTCAACCGACCTGGCTTCGGTTCGGTGGCTTTCAGAAGGGCGGTCAGTCTTAACATTCATATCTTAGATCGTCCTTACAATCACGAGTAGTTGCAAGTATTTTACGATAAAATAATTACAATAAAATCGTTATTAAGGAAAATTACTGTAAAAGATATTTTCTCTACATTTTGAGCTACGTGTTATTTTCTTTGGAAGCCTCGAATTATGGAAATTTGCAACAATGTCTCTTATTTTTACAATAGCTTTAATGTCATGCTTTTTACACGCTGTAATCTCCCAAATGCAACCGTTTCGCATGACTACCTTCGTAATAACTACTCGGCTCGGTAGAAATCGGTGCGCTTTAACTTATAACTGCGTTTTCTTTCGCGACGAGATGCGCTATCGCGCTTGTTCCATTTGAATCACGAGATTCGAGAGAAACAAAGAAATAAATTGTGGGAATCGTTGCAGAAACGTTAACGATCTTTTAAACGGTTACCGCATTGAAGTACGTAATAGATACTCATCGGATACGCTAATCGCGTAATTATGCAACGAAGTGCGAACAGACGGAAAAGGCGTTAGACGAGCTAATTAATTTCTTTTTTCCTGTATTTGCGTAGTAAGTTAATTCGTAATTTTCTCCATCTCGCAGATAACATCTACGCTGGACAATCTGCCAGTCACGCAGACGAATGTTCAACTGCAAAATAGCAATCTTTCTGCAAACGGTTCTACAAACGGATCCGTAAGCAGTAACAAGTTTAGCCCGAACGGGCACAATGAGGAGATTAGTATAGGAAGCGCCGGCAGTTTGGCACGCAGGCAGAGCTTGTGGGACGAGGATCTTCTTTCGGGTAAGTTCAACGAACTCCTCATTACAGAGTACAATTAGCACACTTGTGTAATACAAAACGCGACAATGCGTTCCGGTGCCGTAAGATACGATGCGCGATAATCAATCATCTCGCCCGATTTTTTCGCGCCGTCATGTTTCGCGCGCGAGAAAGGCAGAATGTTACGTTGCTGAATTTATCTGTGAGCAGAGGGCGAGGAAACGGACGAGGAATGGACGCCTTTGCAGAGATTTTTGGTCGCCAATAATCTCACGTCCATACATCCCGTCTTGGAGTCGGAGCAAATCGATCTGGAAGCTCTGATGCTGCTCACGGAAGCCGACATGGCGGCCCTCAAACTTCCGCTCGGCCCCAGACGGAAGCTCACTAATGCGATCGCCAATCGGAAAAAGGCGCTCACCACGCCGGAGAGTGTTATCAAGGACAGTAAATTGTGAAAATAGTATATTGCAATAGCCCTACAGAGGGATGTATTGCTGTTAACGAAATTATCCGTCCGTCCGCAAATACGGTGAAGTAGGTTATTAATATTGGTTTGTGTGCAAGAGATATAAAAATGAAATAGGGAATGATTGTTTTAAAATTGAGATTTTTTTGTAAAAATCGCATAAAGTAATCATTAGACAAATTTTTAAAAAATTTTAAATTATTAATTATGCAATATCAGAAAATTCTTAATATTGAACTTCTTTGTGCCTTGTAATTCTATAGTCTACGTATTTTCCTATCATTACTTGATCTCATTGGCTAAATTATACATCCTTATTATGTAAATGATTACCAGAAAAACTTATGTTAAAAGATTAGAAAAATAAGGAAAAGAGAGAGAATTAAGTAACGAAATAATAGATAAGTAAGAGAGAACAAACAGTTCGCGCCATAATCAAAGAAGAAAAATTCAATATACTATAATATACTGCCATAAAATATACCATCATTAACATTGCTCTATTCAATGTCAGCCTGACCTGTTATTCTATATAATTAGATATATATATATATATTATTGTACTATACACGAAATTTTTAAAAATTTTCAAATTGTAATAAAAATATGTACACTTTTATCATAATTTTTTTTATTTAACAGCCTTAAACTTCACGAAAGAAATTGAGTGTCAGAATTTAAATATTTTAATTTATTAATAACGAACTGTAGTTGCTTAACTAGGACTTGGATTATTTATGTTCGAGGTATAGTTACTAAATTTCCTTATTATTGATAATAATAATGATAAAAAATTGACATATTTATCTTTTAGAATCTAATGCGAATTTCAATGAGTAATCGTTTAATTGTATGTGACGATATTAGATTTTTATGTTTTACAATTATAACCAGGGGCCGAATGTTCGATTTCGATGTTGCGCGTGGAGCACCGCTGCGTGCATGTCGGGTCTTGGATCTCGGATGCGAGTGTGTCGGGAGCTATATTGTTTACATCTGGTCTCTTCGAGAAATGTTGCTATCTCACTTCAGCGAGCACCCAACACACTCGACATACGCAGTGGTGCTCCGCGCGCAATACGGAAAATAGCATCGAACATCGGGGCTCTAAGTATTACTGAACCCTAATAACAATAATTGTTGATTATATATTATATGGATAATTATATAGATTGCATTTCATGCATTAATTTTGTGCAACGTTGTGTCTAGTACATATTGAATCTACAAATAGCACAAAAATAATATAATGTATAAGATAACAAGATTTATTTGAGATAAATAATTGTATAACGAAATTTCACATCAATTTCAAAAAAATTACAAATGCAGTGATGAAAGATGTATATTTTGTACGAAAGGAATGCCCTGGAATCATTCTAGGTATTCCTTTATGATTAACGTATAATATATATCTTCAATTTATATTTGCAATTTTATTGTTAATTTCATAATTAAACCTTATGTAATTCAAATTCATAATTTTAATAAGCTTCATAATATTGTAACATAAAATCGATACATAATATGTGGAGTAAAGGCTTGAATCCGAGACTGCCGATTACGAATCAACGTGCTCGCGCACTGAGTCATTCGTTACCCCACGTTTTATGTATGACAAATATATAAATACGTGTATACACGTGTATACACATACGCGCGCGCACACACACAAAAGTTTCTATTAGGAGAAAAAGTGTTACGTGTGGGGTAGAAAGATGCCACGGCACAGGTTTCTTTTTCTCGTGATTTATTTGTAAATGATTATCTTACAAACAAGAGGCGCAAAAATATACAAGCTTCTTATGTTCGCAAGAAAGTAACAGCACCATTTCACGCCTTGCCCATGAACGCGTCGTGCCCGACCAAGGCGTCATGTTTCGTGCAAGTCTCATGTCACGGTACACTCGTTCTCGCGACCAGTGCACCAATGCAACTTGCGGCAATGTGCATCGGAATAACAAGAAAAGGAAAGGGGGAGATACGCTCGTAAAAAATTTTTTTGGTGCCTCGCGTCCGTCGAACGTACGCGCTTACTATACGTTCCTTGCGTATCCACGAACGTACTATGAAGTACAATATAACTGTGAACGATATAATATACAAGTGATCCCTCCTGACTCTCTTCACCTCCGCTTTTTGTTTTTTTTTTTAGCCTATGAATACACTATTACACCGGTCCTGGTATCATATTGATTTCGGTATATTCTCAAATTCTTTTCTTTCTTTTTTTTAGAAACGTCTGTTAGGCGCCTTCATTGTCGCATTATTATACATTTATATATTCTCATATAAACATATCGTTATAATATCTCATAAACATAAAATGATATTCCATACAATTCATATTGAATTTTAATATAGATATTTTTATGTTCACAAAAAGAATTCCCTTTGCGAACCGCATTTGTAGAAATTATTGAACTCTTTTTGAATTAAATATGTTATAATTTTTAATACGAATTAAAAATTACGTAACACGTCGTCTAATAAACTTAATTATATCCTAATCAACAAAATCATTTCAATTTCATATTTGCTCGATGCATATCATACCTATATGTAATCTTATAGCGGCCCACAGATATAATCCCGACGAGATAATCCTTCCTGATGAGAAAGGGAAAGCTACCTCGCGTGTGGGAAAATTTTTTCGCCGACCTCGCAAGTGTCGTTCCGTCGGCCCCACGGGTGGCCTGTATTACGCAAGATAGAAAAATGCCAATTACACCGGCGAAACCGCGTACTCAAGATGCTTGCTCGCTAATGAAAAAACGAGAGAAAAAGAAGTACAGTAATTGCCACTGATCTGTCGTCCGCTTGAGAGCGACTCTCGGAAGTAAAGAGAATGCGAGGGGATGCGAGCGAGAGTGTGACTCGCCCCCCGTAGTACTCTTCGGTAAACTCGAGAACGGACTCTCGATTTTCTCTCAAATGGATGTCAAACATCACGATCAAGGATGGACGTTTCTCGATTATACGCGGACCCAGAAGACGTACCACGAAACACATGGAAACGGAAACATGAAAACAGATGTCGGTGTTCCGGTACAGAGTTGCCCCGACGTCACGCACGCACACACGTGTCGGCCGTCGGGTTTTGGTGCGCTCGCTTTACGGGGTAAAGTGTACCTAAGTATGGCATCTTCGCATACGATAATTACCTAATTAATGTATTACTTTCTTCTATATTCATAGTTATACGAAAAGAACGACATTTACACGGAGGATAGCTTCCGACAGCTGGAACGGGCGAGGGAAGAAACGTGTGTTTTAAAAACCGAGATGCGAACGTACAAATTTTTCAATCGACTGTTTGTTTTTATCTTTCTTTTTTTTTTTGTTGTACATCAATCATGAAAGCAACACCTTTCTTCCGTGATCGTTTAATTCGCACGTGTAGTAAGACGTGGTGTAAGCGATTCGCTCGCGAAAAATAAATTCTCCACGGTTGTTGCGGTTGTTTCTCACTTTGCCGCGAGGCTCTCGGGTCCTGCATCGCGATGTCGATCTTCGTTCCCGGAAAATGTGTGTGTTTGTGTGAATCGAGAGCACAGAGTCGTCGATATAATTCTAAACATTTTAACTGCCGATCGCACGGTATCATTGATAAATATTGTTAAAGCTATCGCATAGTAGTTAATACTAGTAATGATAATATTAGCGATATATCTATGTTTATTGTTTACCGTTATTAGCGTACGCTATATTTACAACTGAACAACAATTTTTTTCCTTTTTTACTCCTCTCACGAGTGTGACGCTTTCGAACGATCTTGCGAAGAAACGAATAGAAATGTACGTTTGACTTCTTACTGTAATTTTCGAAGAGCAACCGTTCGCGATTCTACGCGTTCCACGAATACGTAGATCTCGTATGTATTACCTCGTCGAATCGCAGCGGATTCGACGAGATAAAAAAAATCGTCTATCAATTCGAGTGCGGCATCTTCGAAAATTCAGATAGAAGTAATATGAGGCATATAGTTAAAAATAATGTACATTTGTAATCATCACCTTCGTTGGGGGGGGGGGGGAAGGAGGGCTCTCACTCTCTGGCACAAATCGTTAAACGTAACCGTTAAGCGCCTTTTTTACAAAATACATCGTCATATATATATGTATATATATAAGTACATAAATTATATATGTACATATAGATTATGTATATATATTATGTATATATATAAAATATATATGTATATACATATATGTACACATATATACACGTATACAGATATTGCAATCATTATCACACCTGACAAAGTCTACGTTTTACGTAAGTTCTATATAGCGAACACATTATTACCGCTCCTGCGGAGCCGTGGAATATTAAATCCATTTTTTTTTCTTATTAATAGAATGTTTAACGCAGACCTTGTTCGGGATGTAAAGCTTGGTATCTTCCTGCTGATTCATTCTCTTCTCTCACTAACCTATGCACCAACGAAAGATTAACTGAATTTATACTATCTCCTGATTTTTTCTTCTTCGACGCGTTGATATCGAATTCTTACAGAATTCCAACAGATCAGACACATGCCTGCCTATCTTATATCTTGCCCTTCGTCTTGCTTCTCGTACAATGGAAAGTGTTACAGTAAAAGTTTGGTTTACCACGATAAAAATTCATAATGAGATCTCTTCAATAAATAATTCTGATGCCCCTCGTAACATTTACAGAACTAGCACTTTTCATGTAGCTGAGAAGCGAAATACTTCCAGCACTGTATTTTCTTTTCTTGGGAGTCTTCGATTATATCATATAATCTTGTAATTTGGATTCTATAAATATTTTACAATTAGTAACGTATGTATTTGGCCACGTAAAATAGAAGCCGAACAATCTGGGCAATAAAATAACCATTTCAATCTATCTTACAATGACGCATACGATGAAATGCAACAGATGCGGGATAGAAAAAAAAATGAATAATAAAAGAGAATTATATATATATATTACACAAGAAAGATAATAGACTCAAATTTATTACATTCGGAGAACAAGAATATAATGAATTAATTTTGATCATTCACGAAATAAAACTTAAAATAGAAAAAATTTAAAGTTTATCACCGCATTATCATCATTTTCTACCGTTTCTTATTCTCTTCGTATCTAGCTATCATCAACAAAGCGATGTGAATCAATTCGTTGATTGCCAATTATCCAGAGGATTAATTGCAAACAATCACGGTAATAATAAAAACAATATTTCAAACAAGGTACTTGATGAATTTCAGTAATGTGATAACAAATATTTTGCACTCGTATCTTCTCCCTGTTCCATTCTGACATCAATTATCCAACAATTTTCGAACACAAAAATATTGTTCGTTTTTTTATCTTCGAGAATTTCGAGATTTTCCGCGTGTGATGTAAAGAAAATATTTGAGATATCAACAATATTGTTTCACAAGTTATTAGAATGCTTCTCAGCCGTTATAAATTTTGATACATATATCGATATATGCATTGACATTTACAGACTCAGTTTCGGATAATGTCATACCCCTGGGTAAAAAAAAAAAAAAAAAGTTCTTCGTACGTTGATTTACAGATCGACAAAGTGACAGTCTCATATACAAATTCTTGCACGTAAAGGTCAGACCGATCATTGTGGGCACTTTTAAACAGTTGTTATTAAGACACGTTCGTGTGCTCTCACTTGCGTAATTTTGTATGTATAAACAAGAAGTTTAATTACATATACAATTACATATATACACATCTATATACTGTACGAGATTTCGCGAGATTACAAATTTTTCACGAAATCGCGTATAAGAGTCGCGGGGAGATACAAACTTTTTTGGATCGTGAATGAAATATTAATTTGCCAATATACACAAAAATATACCCATAAATATGTGACGCGCGTGTTGCATTACAAGTACGTTGTTTCAAATTTTAAGCGCAAAAAACATACGCCCAATCTACATAGATCTGTTAAGGGAGATGTGAATAATTTTGACCGTTATATAAATCGAGATCGGCAGTAGATGCGGAGACACATACGAACGTGCTTATCTGGCAGTGTGGACCACTACCGTTTCCCTCAAATGACAATTACACATAACCGGGAGTTATGTAGGGGAGCTGAGCTATTAGTCATTAATCGGGTCGATTAATTAACAGGGGAACGAGGGAGTAAAGCTACCGTACGCGTCGCGCGCCGTTACAGTGTATTACGCATACGTTTGTGCGTGGGTGATCCCATGTCCACGTCATGCGAAGCAGGCCGTTTGTGATGCCGGGCCAATTCGTTGCTAATAAAGGCCGACAGTTCGGCTTGTCTTCCGCCACGCCGAGAAACCGGAGAACCTGGGAAAATTTAATGTCTCTCTTATTGTCCGCGCCTGTCACTTGTCATGCGTTATTGCGCGTTAAGCCCGTATTAGACTAAAGATTGAGATTGGATTGAGATTTAACCAATTAGAAGAAAGAAAACCAATCTCAAATTTAGAATGAACTTTGTTTTGCTTGGTCAAATTCCAATTCAATCTTAAGTCTAATACGGGCTTTAGAGTGTCTCTGCTATTAGTTTATCCCAATTAAATGCGTGCTTTCTCTCAAACGCGTGCATGAAAATCAAAAATAAATCTGTCCCGTTAGTCTATATTCGCGTGCATCACAAAGGAAATCACAAAGATAAATCTCTCGTGTAAATCTGTCTTTGTCTAATCCAATTCTATTTAAAGTTCAATGAAATATAATTGAATCTCTCTTGAATCAGAACGTATATTACGATATAAACATTTTAAAGTCAAGTAGAAACGTTGCGACTGCAATAAATAGTATTAATTGTAAAAAAAAAAAAAAATTCATAAAAAATTTGAAGAATACAACATACCCGATAGTGCTTCTCTAAATGTGTGTAACTCAGGATCTGGATCAGTGCCTGTTGTTGGCGCTGGAGCAATAACCATACTCGGCGTTTGACTATGCGACGACGGGGAACCGCATACCATCATACGGGGTTTGGGTGAACTTCTGCAACATTGCCAACGTATTGCAGCCTTTAGCAAGCACAATCGACACTTATTTTGTTTAAAATATCATTAATTCATTAATATATAGTCATATATTAATATAATATATTAATAATTCATTAATTTACAGTCATTTATTTTTTAAATTTAACTTAACGAAACATGTTGTCTATACATTTACAAATGCCTATATGTTATAAAATTAAAGTACACAACAATAATCTAAATTAATAATTCTCTCGGAATGAACTACGGTAAAGGTAAACCTGTGTGGATGCGAACGAGGTGGAGGTGGTTTTCCAGAGAGATATGCAAGAAGATCTTCCCTGCGAATCATACGTCTTTTTTTCCTAGCCCAATTCATTATTTCTTTACAACGTTTCTGCTTGCCCAGTTCCACTCCCAAATCGCTGCATCGCCTCATACAATCCACTGAATCTATTTAAACAATTCTTGATTAATTTTACAGACAAATGCAAATTAAGCCTTGTACATCGACATGCACTAATTATAAAATTTAAAACACAATATAAAACTTATGATACAAATAAACGTAATAAAATAGTATCCAAATTATTTTATTACGTTAAATTTTGTATATATAATCAACACTCTTCATTTATCAGATGCTTAATTGTCATTTCATTTCGGTAACAATGTTGCTTCAATTGACGTAACAAATTATATAAAAGCAAGAAATACATTTAAATACATTTTTTATGTTTTATATTCTAAGTATCTATAATAGCAATACAATAAAAGATCAATATAAACAAATATATAATAAATATATAAAAATACATAATATATAAATAAAAAATATATAAAGAAAACTCTAAGTAGCATTTTTTTAGAAATAAAAAATTGAAAGTACGGATAACAATCGCGAAAGACGAATAAGCCATTATGCTGGTGAAGAAGGAGAATGCCTTTGTGTTGTCACGAACGTCAAGTTGATATTTTTATGGTTGTTATCTCTGTCGTCATTGATAACATGAATAATTTGATATCCTTATAAGAACGTTATCAAAATAGTCATTAGTCATTAATGGAGATATCAATAACTGTATTCTTTTGCTGTGTAAAATTGACCTAATTTCGCCCTTCGCTCCGAATTCTATTAAGATTTCACACACTACACGTTCAACGTGTGATGTCAAAATGTTACAAAAGCACGTTCTCCTTTCATAAATGTTATACGAATAACGGATCGCTCTTGACAGATATTTGATTAACTAACGGGTTCTTCACTTGTCATTATTTTTGTCATAAACACATCTCGATGGACGGTCCTTTTTCGCACAGAAGTGCAATTCGCTATGCAATGCAGCTCGACGTTAGTCATGCTAATTCAGGGATATACATGTATGTATGTATATAAGGGATATATAAAGCCATAATTTATGCGTTGATTGAATAAAAAAATTAATAAATAAAACACTGTCTAAAAACCTTGCTTCAAACTGACGCGTGGCATTGGAGCAATTTTATCGGATTAAATACTCGCCTGCGTGTCACACAAATCACATGCTACTCGGAATTTATATTCAGACGTACAACGTGCCAAAAAAATATGACCAACAAATTGCGTAATCAATCAACCTGCAAGTTATCGGAAGAAAATAATCTCACAGATAATCCGAACACGGTTTTCAATCCGCCGCTACGGTTACAAATCCTCACTGTTCCCCATTGTACTCGTGAACTCGATACAGCTCGCAATTAAGTCATTAAAGAAACTCTACACGGAAATTAAATTTCTCCCGAGATCCAAATGAATTATGCGCGCGCGTTAAGTTCTACGCATTGCGCTACGAAATTACGCGTTTCAACAACAGGCGAGAGGAGACCGCGTGCCGGAGTGGATGCACGTCGTCGTCGATCCGCAAATTCCTCCGTGCCACGTTAAACAGCAGCGGACGCTCGTAAGGTAAACGGTACCAGTGGTCTGAACGTGTATCTATAGCTGAACACAAAAATTTATTTTTAAATGATTTTTTTCATAATATTATAATTTAATTGTAATCTTTAAATATTTTTACAATTAAATTTTGATATTATAATAAAAAAAAGTAATTGAGATCAATAAATTTTGTGTATGTACGTGTTCAGATATAGTTCAGCCACTGGTACGTTTACCTCATGTGTATTTCACTCTCGGTGCCGAATAAACAGCTGACCCTGAGCGGTCAGCCATTATTATCGGGGAAGGGGAAGGGGCCATTTTCGTCCCGTAATGACGGTCGCACGCTCCGCGCGTTCGCGATACATGTACAATGAGAGGACAAACAAGAGCAAACACGATGCGAAGAAGACAGTAGGGAACAAAGATTGGAACGTTGCGGAGAAGGTGACGCGCTTCGGAGCGCCGCAGCACGAGGCGCGGAGATGGCGGTGACGGGGGGAGAGAGAGAGAGAGACGACGAGGAGGGGGGAAGGGGGAGGGGGAAGAAAGCGACGGAGAGGGTAAGGGGCTGCGCGCTCGTGTCGTTTATCTAGCGGTTGACAATGGAGCACACCATAAGGACGTAGAGAGAGAGGCACGCACCTTTGTACAACGATGTGACAGTACCGGCGGCCGTCTGAAAGGGCACCCATAGCGAAACGCCCAGCGTGCGGTCTGCAAGAGAGAACAAGAAAATAAATCCAGAGGAGGTTAAAAACGGAGGGGAGAGGGGGGTGGAGCGGGGGGAAGGGAGGGGGGATTCGATCGATAATTGTCGATCGGAATTTTCGGGGTACTGCGAGAGACACGTTTGTAACGAGAACGAGAACGTCGATCGACGAGCGAGATTCCCACGGGATTCGCACGAGGCTCTGTCTCGATTCTCGCGTAAATGTCGCGAACAAAATGGATGTTAATCGCGAGACGGACGGAATTCGCGTTGCGGAGGGGAAGCGACCTTGGGGGGGATCGCCGTGGCAAAATGAGGGGAAGCAAAAAAAAGAGAGAGAGAGAGAGAGAGAGAGGGATAAGGGAAGGGAATCAGGTCCTCGCGCGCGTATCGTCGAAATCGTCATCGATTCGAGGGATCTACCTTTGTACAACTGGGCGATGGCCGACGCGGTCGTTTGGAACTTCGTCCACATCTGCTGCGAGTAGATCTCCTTCTCGTTGTGCAGCTGATCCTCGTAATTGGGCTCGGACTCGAGCGCCTCGACGCACTGCTGCTCCCAGTTGCTGTACCAGAGGTCCATAATCGGATCGTCCTCGCTCCTGTCGTCGCTCATCGCTGCGCCGCGATCCGCGCGATCGGCGCACACCACCGCTGGCTTGCCTGCTCCGAGTGCAACCTCACGCACGCACGCACGCACGCACTCCCGCACACCACGCGCGGCGCACACCACACACGCGCGAGAGTAAGAGAGAGAGAGAGAGAGAGAGAAAGGGAACGAGAGAGACTGTGGGAGAGGGGGGAGGCAGAGAGAGAGAGCGAGCGCTCGTCGCGAAGATACCCTCGGCAGAGTGTGCGGGGAACCAGAGCGAGAGAATATAACGCCTCGCCCACCCACCTCGCGCGATTAATACACGCGCACGCGAATGTATGCGGGCTGCTCGGTGTGTATCACGCACACGCAACTGTCGCGAGACCACACACAGCTCCTCCGACTCGCGAGCAGCTGAAGCAGCTTCGACGACGATAACGATGACGACGACGATGACTGCAACGTTTGACTGCCTTCTCCTCGCTCGCGTTCACCACCACCCAATCCGCGCACCAGACCTCTCCACCTCTCCTCTCTCGCGCTCGCTGTCTCGCGCCTCTCCGCGTCGCCTCGCGTAGCCCACACGTAGGCCTTCGCCCGCAAAAATCAAGTAGTCGCGGACATTACGATACACGTCGTCCCCGCGTCGTCAGAGACACACTCGCGGACATCAAATGTACGTCGCACACGGTCATTCGATATTCGTGAGAGAGAGAGCGTCCAGATTACTCCAGATAGTCCAGATAGGCAACTCCACTGTCCACACGGCACACACACTCTCCGTGGAGTCGAGCGATCAGTGATACCACCAGATACCACCAACCGTGCGAAGAGACTAATTTCCCTAGTCCTCTATTACAGAAAAGCCTCTTCTGTCAGGGAATAGGGATATCAACATAAACACGTGGATCCTAGAATAGATAGGCAAGAGAGAGAAAGAGAGAACAACACCTGATTGTTTCTTTTCTCTCCAGCGTGACAAGAGTTGAACAGAGAGAAAAAACGACCTGCATAAACTAGGCTTTAGAGCCTTTAGGCTACGGTCCACATAACAAATGCGTTCTTTGATTGGTCAATTATAAATATTCTTTCTTTTGAATAGTCAATAGACAGTACTTCAATATTTATAAATATATGTAGAGATGTTCATACAGTACTACAGTCGTGGACATATCGGTTGCGACACTTTTTTTTATAGGTTTCAAAACGCACTAATATTTTGCAAATGCGGACCACGATTGGTGTTATACTGCCTCTAGACTAAAGATAGTACATCGTGGTTCGCATTTGCAAAATATAAGTTATCTATGAAATATATTATATATATTATATATATTAGTTATCTATAAAGTATATATTACGTATATTAAATATAAATTAGAAACCTATAAAAAAAAAGTGTCGCAACCTTTTAGTACATATAAATATCAAATGGACCGCACTCATGGAAATTTGCTTATTCATGAAAGGCATATAAATCAGTTATGTGGATTACTGACTGCTACACTGAATAGATTTTTCAAATATATCAAACAATTTAAATGTATATAGCTAAAAGTATATATAAGTTTATTATATTATCTAATAAATATTTAACAAACAATATGATTAAATATTATACATTAGCTAATAATCTCACGTTTGTAAAATACTAAACATAATTTAAAAAAAAAAGAAAATGTAGGAATAATATAAAACATTTGTATAGTATATTATACTACACATAAATATAGAAAATCAACAAAATCTACATTGCTAATTAATGCCGTGCTTTCCGACTATTCCTAATATTATGTGTATAAAGCCAACGTGTATCGTACAGTTGTTTATTTAAACAAAAATACATTTGTTAAATAATTAAAAATGGTATAAACACTCGTTACACTAGCTATGATATAGATGCCTTTGCAGGTTGTCTTTTTTAAATAATATATGTTGATTCAGGCGCATTTTCTAAAATCCAATACCTCTGCCTCTCGTGCAGCATCTCGTATTTTTGAGTATTTTTTTTTTCCATTACATGTGCGGCGTTAAATTGTCAACAATAGGTTTCTGAATATTCTTCCTCTCCAAACAGTGCAGGCATACGTATTATAACGTACAATTCTAACAGATATTACATGATAATTGAATTCCATCCCGATTAAATTATTGCTCGTCATTTTCAAATATGATCCCTCTTCTGTTACGTAGCGATAAGAATGTCGATTTAAACTTTCCGTTGAAAACTGAATTTCCTATTCTTATCACAGCTAAAGCACACTGTGTAAAATAAAAGATATCAAAGATTGCGTTCTCCTTCAGCATTTAATATACATTTAAAAATCAATAGCTCTCATGCGTGTTACAAAGTAATGTTGGAATCAATTGTTTAAGCTATACATCGCGACGTTTACAATACAGTTGTAAAAATTCATATTTTAATCACATGCATTTGTGTGAGTGTGTGTGTGTGTATGGTGTGTAGACTATAGAAATGTACCTTTACGAAAGCGTACATATTTACAAATGTTTTTGCATAAATGTTGCTGCACATAGAAATTACAGGATATTTCGTTTCGCTATATTGATGACGCAAGAGAGCGCTTTCCCTTGATAAATGAAAATCGTGTATTCTCGCTGTAATACACGAAACAGGACTGGGCGCACAGCATAAATATATATATAAATTATAAATAAATAAGTTCTAAAAACAATTTGAAATTTTACGTTTAGCCTTAATTCGATTCATTTGATTTCGGGGAAAAAAAAACGTTATTTACACTTTTTTTTTAAGTATCTTGAGACGCGCTAGCTTTCTTTTTACCTTTCATGTCGTACAGTCTTTGCGAAATTCATGTATCTAATTGAATAATTAACACAACCATACCTATATACCTATCAAAATAAAGTCAAATTAAATCGAAATCGATTTTTGCACGACATCGCGAGTCTTAAAAGATATACGAATGGAAATGCCTAAGTAATGACTCCCTGAAATAATGATAAAAATTATTACGAGTTACTATCCAAAACAATTATGGATTATGCTTGCTGCGATACATTTTGTTATCGTGCCGAGTGTGTGTGCCATCATTTCGTATTATAATAAAATTACTCGATATATAACATTTTCTCGAAAGCTTCTCTAAATTAAGTTCAAAATGTTTTACGATGAATAGCCCGTATACCGTCCTCGTCGAATTCTTTTTTGCTCACCCACATCTTCTTGAAGGTGTCTAAAGAAGCCAAAATGGAACCCCCGATCCAAGTGCTGTATAATCGTTCCTGAGGCGCGGATATCTGTTACAACAGAAATAAGTTTATTATGCTGTCTTTTTTACTCGTTATTCACGTTTTATTTTCACTTTTCATTCTTCGCCTCCTTACCCTTATTTTAATGTCCTTTGGCGACATCCTACGAATCTCCGATAACAATCTGTCACCGAAACCCTAAATAGTAATTATGAGAATCTTGTTACATCAGTAGGTAATTTTTGTATAATAGAAATAAGAATATAAAAAAAATATTTTTTTTATATTCTTTCTCCAGTCTATATATACTGATTTTTGTGCTTACGCGGAATAATGTCGATCCTCCCGACAATACGATATTTTGGAACAGAACCTTTCTCAAATCCAAATCGGACTTCTGAATGGAATACGTTAATACTTCATGAAGGCCTTCGCATTCCTCGCCTATCAGATCTGGTCTAAACAGCACTTCGGGAGCTCTAAATCGTGCCGGGCCAATCTGCATTGAATGAGGCATGTAGGTAAGAACAAACTTTAAACTCGCTATCTCAAAGTTATATACGACTGAAATACTTTTCCGTGTCAATTATTGCCAAATTCAAGTTATTATTACATTACCTCCAAGTGACTGCCGTCAGGTAACACATACTGAAACTTCTCCGTCTCTATTGTTTCTTCTTTTTGGGGATTGCTGGCGAGGTAGCACGCTCGCTCTTTAATTATTCTGACAATTTCGAACTCCGCCGTGGTCTTGAAATTAATGCCCTCCTTGCGTAAAAGTAGCCTAAGGTGCCTCGTAACGTCACGTCCTGCTATATCAACTCGCATTATACTGTGAGGCATAGCGAAACCTTCGTAGATAGGCACAGCGTGCGTAACACCGTCGCCAGCATCCAGAACTACTCCCGTGGTTCTGCCTGTCGCGTATCTGTAATTAATGAATAACGAAGATCATTGTTGCGCGATGCAAAAACGAACCTTCAATTGTCGAAAACAGTATAACTCTGACAGCGTTTTCGGATGAAGCGGGTTTGATCGCTCCGAGAGCGATTAATGACGTCACGTGCTCTGCTCGTCCGATCAGAAATCTAAAATAGAGCATGTAACGTCGTTGAAATCTCTCTCAAACCAGCTCCGTTCGAAAACGCTGTGAGGTTTTAAGAAGCTAAAGGAAGCGTAAGAGATTCTTCCAGAAGTTAAAAGCTGCAAATCATTCTAACACATTATTGCAAACGGTAAATGGCTACTTACAAGCTAAGTACAGCTTGCATGGAAACAAATAAAGCTGGGACATTAAACGTTTCGAAAAATATCTCGGCTGCCTTCTCGCGATTCTTCCTGGGGTTTAGAGGTGCCTCGGTAAGCAAGACCGGATGCTCCTCACTGAACGTAGCTAACTGATCTTTACTGTAAACGTAAGACCAGATTCGCTCCATGTCGTTCCAGTCTGTGACCACGCCGTGTTCCATTGGATACCGAAGAGATAAAAGGCCACGATGCTCCTCCGCTATTGGACCCACGAACAGATCTCCTTCCAAAGCACCCGCCATAACACGTACATGTTTCGGCCTGCCAATGCTAAAAATAGAAATTGTGTATTAATTTCTGTCATCAATCAGGTAATGCCAATGCTACATACTAATGTACAAACAAAAATTCTAATTTTTTTTTTTTTAATATCTTTCATATCGTGTATTAATTTATATTTTTAACATCATTTCATCTTCTAACATTGGCTGTGTTGAACAGAGAAAACAGATCAGTGAGCGCTCAGTGATTCTTTAATATAATTGGTTCTTGCCTTTAGATCTTCGCTGAATCCAAGTGCAGAAATCAATAGCAATAACGAATCATTAAGCGCTCACTGTCTGTTTTCTCAGTTCGACACAGCCAATGTTGAAAGATCTCTGCTGAACGTAGCTATTTTGATTAATTTATATAATATACATTTCTATACATATTCCACTTGTTTTTTGTCTTTATCCACAAAGTAATATTTCCCTCAAAAAAATAATAAATTAGAAAATAATTCTTGAACTTCAACTAATTATAAGAGTAACGTCGACCAACCATATCGAATAATGGCTGTATCTTCTTGCTAACACATTAATTCTTTGTTACTTTTGACGTAAAAGGACCAGGAACAATAAATACAATTCAAAGTTTTGCTGCATATAAAATTCTGTCGATCCAGTCAATTCTCTGGTCAAGTCAATAAAAAAGCTTAAATCATCCGGTACCCTTAACATGTCATCGGAATGACTTGCCACCTTCCGAGCAGCTTCCAAAAACAGAAGGCACGCTGTCACGAATGTCAATAGCGCCTCTCCCTGCTACTTACTAATTCGGAAATCTGCATTTAGGTATCTGGTCGCCCGCGAATCCCGCCTTGATCACGCCGGATCCCTGAACAAAAACAAAATCAGCTGTAACGACTAACTGTTATCGATTCTAAAACGAGAAAGGGTTTATTGCTTATCACATTGCCATCGTCATCGTCATCATTGACACCGGATGTCGATAATAATTCCCGACGACGTTCGCGGACGGGAAACGGGATAGGAATTAACAGAACACGGAACCGGCAATGCGACGAGGCGCGAAGCGTCCGTGTTCTCGAGCGAGATAAGCCTCCCCTCATCTGCGTTGACGAACTGACATGGTAGTTTGACACATCGCTCGCTTTCTTAGGCCCAGGAGGGGAACTGGAGGGCACTTACGTTGTCGATTACCACCGGCTGATTGACGATCACGTCGTACGGCTCCATCGTACGAAATCCGGAATGTGTCCACGCGACTTTGTTTCAATCGAGAACCGACCGCGAACGTAACCCCAACAGGCACACACCTATCCTTCGAGCGAGGCGTCCGAAGGGAGTCATGAAGTCATCGGCGAGCCTGCTGCGATTCGAGGATCGTTTCTCTCGAAGTGCGTCGCGAACAGGAGTGCCAACCGTACCTCCGACAGAGCTGTCTTTACGTCAGGTTAGGTTAGGTTGAGTTGAGTTTGAATTGGGTTGATATCGCGGGATTCCATCGTGTATTGTGATAAATAATGACAAGATCGGTCGTGGTCGAGTGTGGTGTGGTGTGGTGTCGACGGCGTAGAGAGTTGTGGGTCTGCTTTCGGTGCTGAAGAACCCGAGTTCAAATTCGAGAAACATCGGATTTTTTAATTCGATTGCCGCCTCTCATCGTCAGAAGACAATGGCAAACGCCGAGGTATACATACTGTTTATAGTCTGTATATCTTACTATGAAAACCCCTCTAATTAATAGCGTTTTCGATTTGTTGACTCGATCCGACTCCGAGTCGATGGTCTGTTCTTTTTAGCTATAAAAAAATAGTTAAAGTATACAAGAAACGCTAAAAAGAACAGACTATTTTATCTCGGAGTCGGATCGAGTCAACAAATCGAAAACGCTATTAGTTGCAAGCCGATCGCCAGCTTGTTGCGACAGCCAATCCGAAGCATTGATTTCAAAATGTAAGCTTCAGATTGGCTGACGCAACAAGCTTGCGATCGGCTTG